CGAAAAGTTGCACTTTGAAAAGTAAAATTTGAATTAAAAAAGTCCTTCAAAATCATTTGGGATGTTCTTTAAAAACTGAAAAAATTCGTTTAAAATGACTTTCTAACTTTTTTGACTATTTTTTGTCAAAATAAAAAAAAATAATTACATGTATATATAGATTATGCATAATAGTTTCCAAAATATGAATTTAAATTTTCTTACGTCACTAATAATATTTTATGAATATACTAAACTAAATAATTATGTGAGATCCATGGTAAAACTCTAAAAAATCAGAAGAAAAATTCATAAAATTAATTTTTTAAATCAGATTAAATAAGTCTTTTTGCCTCCAAAAAACTACTCTATATGCTGATAACAGACCTTCTTATTGTACTCCAAAGCCCTTAAAAACTAACTATTAAAGTTAGTTTCAAATAGATTCAATGACCGAAACCAATCAAAAATACATGGTCAAAACGTTAAGTTTTGTTAGAAAAAAGCCATGGAGGAACCCCCAGTTCAACTTAGTCGTGTCGTGAACCTGACGGTCTACAATCTAATTCTTCAAATTCAAAGGAGACATCAAATTCAAAGGAAACAATGACATGGCCTATTGTCTCTATTGTTTGTTCCCAAATTGTACTTCAAGCAATAGTTCCCCCATACCCTCTATATATACACTCCTCTTGCTCCATGTTTCTGCATCAGCAATTTACATATCCACTAAATCCATTAACTCTCTCTCTCTCTACAAAATGTTGGGTTCCTTGGAATCTTGCATCTATGAAAATTTCATGGATGGAAGACTAAAAGCTAGGAAACCAAAGGCACCTGGTTATGTATATAGAGATGAGTTGGATAGGAAGGTTTCACCAAGCAAGCTAAAGAGAAGTGATGACGTTGACCCACAACCATTGCTTCAAAAAGAAGTTGAGAAGCATTCTGAGAGAAAAAGCAGTAGCAGTGGTTGTGTTGAGGGGAAAGGTGGGCTTAGAGTTAAAATTGTGATGACAAAGGCAGACGCGGCTCGCCTACTGGCAAAGTCTAAGGATGGAGGGTTTCTCGAATTCAAGGACGTAGTTCAAGAGCTCGTAGAAATCCCTATGAATCGTGTTAGTGTTATTGTCCCAAAAACTAACAGTGATCGCGTACTTGAGAGTATCCCCGAAGAACTATAGATGAGAACTCCTAATTATTTGTATCATTATTAACCAAAACAGATTTTATTAATGTACTTTCACTGTGATTGTGTTGAAAATTAGTAAGGAAATTGAAGATGTTATGATTTCCTTGAAATGCGGAAACAGTCTCTGTGGTGGTTAAAGATAGGAAGGGTATGTACTTGTAGACTACTAATATGAAATAAGAAAGGCGATAACTGTGAGACTCCACTGAAATCTACCACTTTTTTGTGTGAGTAGTGAAATTCTACATACTAAACGAATATGAAATTTTATGTCCAGTTTGTCCATCAATCCAAACACAACAACTGGTATACAAAACAGGCATACATTGATCTTATGGGATTCAATCAAAAAAGATATTCCTAGGATGCTAGGAACGCTACTTTCTATCATTTGTGCCCAGAAATTGAATTTGACAAGAACATATCACGCAACTTCATACCACATAGTCCTACTTGGAGGCAAAAAAGGAAAAATGATGGGGCAACTGACAACCCCAAATGGGCAAACAAAGTTGACCTGATGCATCAACCACAGAGTTCTGTTCTAATTCTAACATTTGAACTGAAATCTGAAGAGGTTAGCTGCCATTGTTCACGCTGTTCGACCTTAATGCCGCGGATTCGAATCTCGTGTCTCCCTCCCCTCTGTAATATCCTAACAAAGAAAAACTGAAATATGAAAGCCCCAAAGAGCTTTAACCGAAGCCATTATGACGCGAAAAGTGCAGGGTATGAATAGAAACAAAACAAGAAAATGGAAAAAAAAGTGAGATTTTCCCTTGGGCCCTGTTTTGATGATAGTGATTGGGAATGGACATCTCATTCCTAGAAAGGGGATGCCTCGTTTCAGATATTGAGGTGATCAAAATACTACCCGTGGCGCTAGGTCTTGGAATTCTGATGCCTGTGGTGATGTCTTACCTTCTTATCGAAACATGTAATCCATGTATTTGAGAATGAGAATTATTCTGATTTAAGATTACCGTTATCCAAACGAGACCTTAGTGCTTTCTGATTCAGCAGTAAATATCTGGTTTTGCTTGCCTAAGCCTTTACCTCTGTAACATGATTTCTTATAATTGAGATTAACGCATATAAGAAAAAAATGTGGTCATGCACTTAAAGTGTTAGAAACGATAAACATTAAACAAATTCCTGACCAATACATAATACAGAGATGGAGGTGAAATGCAAGAAAATGGTAAAGTCCTTATTCCAGTGCCACACTAAATGAGGAGGATCCCAAGTTGATGGTAGCACCACGTTACAGACAGCTATGTCTTAATATGGTACATTTAGCAGCTCGTTGTTCTAACCTTAAGTCTGCACACCAATTGATAAATCGCGATATTAATGAGTTGTTCAAACAAGTGGATTTAATGTATACATCACTTGGTACTGAGGAGGACAATGATGGTGATGAAGGAGTAGAAAATCTCTCTCTCTCTAAATGAGCAGAAAATGTTGAGCCTAACATTGTACGGGTAGGTGGCTTGAAGAGGAAAGATGGTGGTTACAAGGGTTGAAGTCGATTGAAGCCTTGGAATGAGAAGCCAACGAAGAGGAAAACTGGAACTTCCTATAGGTCTAAGGTATTACAACCCCAACATTATGGTTGTGATATTTTGGATTTTTTTTTTAATTGTATCTTACATCTTTGAATGTTTGTTTTGAAGATATCTCAATCGGATGAGCAAAATTCACATATGAATGAATTTACCTACTCATGGTCATCAACTTATAGTCACTTAAATCCAATCTCAAGCATGTCTTCTCAAGCATCAAATTCTCAAGCATCAATTGCTTCACAAAATGCTCGGGTAAATGTTGAATCATGCTTCTTGGACAACGTCGTTGATTATCCTAATGAGAAGAATTGATGTTGCTGCAGTGCTGGATGTTGTTGCAATGCGGTGCTTTAAGTATGTCTAACATTACTCTAAAAATAAAAAGTAGAGGTACGGTATCGAAAACAGTAACGTAGACTTTTCCGTTATTGTCTTGTTCAATTTATAACGGGTCTTGTATTGTTGTTCTCTTTTTATGGCAAATTTGACGAAGTCTTCTCATTTGCTTTGTCCTACTGGGGCAAGGTTTACTGGAAAATTGATTAACCAAATAGTCTTTAAGATGGTGATGCCAGAGCAATGAAAAAATTACTAGGAGTTGACACATGCAACATTGGACATCAATCTTATCATTCTGACTGGGTCTTTTACAAACCAAAACACGCGTTTTCAAGGTTAGTGATGGACTTAAATAGCAGACAGGTGCCAATTCTCTAGACCAAGTCAAGATAATTTACTTGGAGTCCATTTTCAAAGTGCTATGTATTTTGAACTTCATTCTTTTTTTTATCAGAGTTTCTAACTTGTTTTTGGAACTATTGTTGTTTCTATAAAAGTGAGTTTAGCCAAGCTTTTGAATGTAGACCACGATAAATAAGTTAAAAAACCACTCTATAGGTAGAATCATATACGAAAAAATTGATAAAGTTGAAAAAAAAATTCATATACTTGTATCAAAACTTGTGAATCATTTTGATTTATTTTTTAAAATTTTTCTCAATGGCAGATCGCTTACTGTGTATTAGTGGAGAGGAGGATTCAATTGTACATAGTCAATTCCACTAATTAGATTCATGGTAGATATAACATATCATTGAGAGAAATTGTCAAAAAGTATATTTGAGTAAATTTGGATCTAAGAATTACCTTCTAAGCAGAAAGATGTTCATTAGCCACACACAGCTGAAAACAACACATAAACTTGTGGTGCCTCAGAGTTCTCATCCAAATCTGGGCAAGGTTGAGTGTATAATTCAACAGAAGTCAACCTACATTGTCCTTGGAAAGAAACTCAATACCTTGAAAGAAGAGGTAGACTATTTGAATAGTGGCTGCTTCTGGTCTTTCCAGGAATGTGCACTAAATAGAAATTGAAGGATCGACAATGGCTTCTTCTGCCCATTGGACCATACCCTGCTACGGATTAGCATTACCCCACAAAATTAAGGAAGCCACTGTCCACCAAGAGATAGGAGCCATTTGAACAATGAAATTATTTGGAGTTGGTTTTTTTAGGCGAAAAGTTGCGTTTTGAAAAGTCGAAAAAAATTTGAATTAAAAAAGTCCTTCAAAATCATTTGGGATGTTCTTTAAAAACTAAAAAAATTCGTTTAAAGTGACTTTCTAACTTTTTTGGCTATTTTTTGTCAAAATAAAAAAAAATAATTACATGTATATATAGATTATGCATAATAGTTTCCAAAATATGAATTTAAATTTTCTTACGTCACTAATAATATTTTATGAATATACTAAACTAAATAATTATGTGAGATCCATGGTAAAACTCTAAAAAATCAGAAGAAAAATTCATAAAATTAATTTTTTAAATCAGATTAAATAAGTCTTTTTGCCTCCAAAAAACTACTCTATATGCTGATAACAGACCTTCTTATTGTACTCCAAAGCCCTTAAAAACTAACTATTAAAGTTAGTTTCAAATAGATTCAATGACCGAAACCAATCAAAAATGCATGGTCAAAACGTTAAGTTTTGTTAGAAAAAAGCCATGGAGGAACCCCCAGTTCAACTTAGTCGTGTCGTGAACCTGACGGTCTACAATCTAATTCTTCAAATTCAAAGGAGACATCAAATTCAAAGGAAACAATGACATGGCCTATTGTCTCTATTGTTTGTTCCCAAATTGTACTTCAAGCAATAGTTCCCCCATACCCTCTATATATACACTCCTCTTGCTCCATGTTTCTGCATCAGCAATTTACATATCCACTAAATCCATTAACTCTCTCTCTCTCTACAAAATGTTGGGTTCCTTGGAATCTTGCATCTATGAAAATTTCATGGATGGAAGACTAAAAGCTAGGAAACCAAAGGCACCTGGTTATGTATATAGAGATGAGTTGGATAGGAAGGCTTCACCAAGCAAGCTAAAGAGAAGTGATGACGTTGACCCACAACCATTGCTTCAAAAAGAAGTTGAGAAGCATTCTGAGAGAAAAAGCAGTAGCAGTGGTTGTGTTGAGGGGAAAGGTGGGCTTAGAGTTAAAATTGTGATGACAAAGGCAGGCGCGGCTCGCCTACTGGCAAAGTCTAAGGATGGAGGGTTTCTCGAATTCAAGGACGTAGTTCAAGAGCTGGTAGAAATCCCTATGAATCGTGTTAGTGTTATTGTCCCAAAAACTAATAGTGATCGCGTACTTGAGAGTATCCCCGAAGAACTATAGATGAGAACTCCTAATTATTTGTATCATTATTAACCAAAACAGATTTTATTAATGTACTTTCACTGTGATTGTGTAGAAAATTAGTAAGGAAATTGAAGATGTTATGATTTCCTTGAAATGCGGAAACAGTCTCTGTGGTGGTTAAAGATAGGAAGGGTATGTACTTGTAGACTACTAATATGAGATAAGAAAGACGATAACTGTGAGACTCCACTGAAATCTACCACTTTTCTGTGTGAGTAGTGAAATTCTACATACTAAAACGAATATGGAATTTTATGTCCAGTTTGTCCATCAATCCAAACACAATAACTGGTATACAAAACAGGCATACATTGATCTTATGGGATTCAATCAAAAAAGATATTCCTAGGATGCTAGGAACACTACTTTCTATCATTTGTGCCCAGAAATTGAATTTGACAAGAACATATCAAGCAACTTCATACCACATAGTCCTACTTTGAGGCAAAAAAGGAAAACTGATGGGGCAACTGACAACCCCAAATGGGCAAACAAAGTTGACCTGATGCATCAACCACAGAGTTCTGTTCTAATTCTAACTTTTGAACTGAAATCTGAAGAGGTTAGCTGGCCACTGCCCAAGCTGTTCGACCTTAATGTCGCGGATTCGAATCTCGTGTCTCCCTCCCCTCTGTAATATCCTAACAAATAAAAACTGAAATATGAAAGCCCCAAAGAGCTTTAACCGAAGCCATTATGACGCGAAAAGTGCAGGGTATGAATAGAAACAAAAAAAGAAAGTGGAAAAAAAAGTGAGATTTTCCCTTGGGCCCTGTTTTGATGATAGTGATCGGGAATGGACATCTCATTCCTAGAAAAGGGATGCCTCGTTTCAGATATTGAGGAGATCAAAATCCTACCCGTGGCGCTAGGTCTTGGAATTCTGTTGCCTGTGGTGATGTCTTACCTTCTTATCGAAACACGTAATCCATGTATTTGAGAATGAAAATCATTCTGATTCAAGATCACTGTTATTCAAACGAGACCTTAATTCTTTCTGATTCAGCAGTAAATATCTGGTTTTGCTTGTCTAAGCCTTTACCTCTGTAAAATGATTTCTTATAATTGAGATTAACGCATATAAGAAAAAAATGGGTCAAGCACTTCAAAGTCGCAGTCCAGTGTTTGAATGTAAAAAGAACAGAAATTCATCAATCTCCCTCTTTCCGCCTTCTCTTAGGACTGGACTAACATGTGGGCTTTATGCATTAAAAGGTGTCAACCTTGGGCCTTTGGAGCTGGAACTAAAGGTAGGAAATTGACCAAGGTTCACTAGCACGCGCGTGCGTGTGTGTGCGCACGCGCATGTATCGTAATAGATTTTGTATATGGGATGAGAAAGCTAACGAAACAAAATAATCAACAATGAATCAAAATCTCCGCTTCGAAAAAGAAGAAATTAAGTTACAAAAAAAAGATTTTGAAAGAAAGCAATATCAACGGAGAGGAGAAAGGTGAAATTAAAGGGAAAACAATCATATGATTACCGCAATTCCATCCGTTCTAATTGTACATAATAAAGCAAGTATAAAATTAAGTGAATTTGTGTTCTTTTAACTCAGCCAGCCTGCCACATGGTAACTGGAAATTCAGTGTGCACCATAAACTTTAAAAGAAACAGAGTCCACTATACCTCAAGTTTATCAAGAGAGACAATTTTATTGGAGTGCTTACACTTATAAATACTTAGCTATTGCCTATTTTACATGATATTCACCTAAAATCTGTGGTATATTTAGTAAAATTTTAAGGTTTTATCATATGAAGTGAAAAACTATAAATCGTCAAAGGAAATTTAGCCGAGAACGATAAGGGCACAAGGAAACCAAAATCAGAATGATTAGCCCCCGTCTGTCCCAAAGGCATTACAATCCTGTTAGGAATTTAACGCGAGCTGTCTGATCAATCAACTAGTTTTGGTGAACAAATTGATGGTTGATTGGAAAGGGCTATTCATTGCTAAATTTAGTGGAGAAAGCATGCCTTCTTGGCTTGGAACCGGTGCATTCTTGGATTGAAACCCATCATACACGTATAATTGTAAAAAATTGGTAAAGATGTATTACAGGAACGGGGTGGAAGCTTACATATCGGATACATGAATTGGGATCTATGTCGTGTGCAAATTTTCTAACGGAAAAGTCTCCATTATTCAAAGGATTGATTATCATTACCTTTTTAGTAACAAAGATTTGGTAAGAGTGCCGGGATGATGATTAGTACAAAAGTCAATAAAGATCCAAAAAAAGAAGAAATGACAAGAAAAATTTGATATCCATGGAGGACATAACGATGTGGGTCATGTATTCAACCATATGTCTCTTCAGTATCCCAAAATAACAACTTCTTACCAAATTATTTGCCCACATAAGCTTCTGTGTGCACACTTCTTCCTTCATCAGTGGAAAGAAATAGAACTAAACCTATTTAACATGGAAAAGGAAAATTTGCACACAAAATTAGGGTCATACATTAACTACATCAGATCTCGGGTTCACTGGGTACGCCATTTTTACAATAATTACATCAGAAAAAAACTGGAAAGAAAGGAAAAAGATTGTATTTGAACAACCACTACCCATCATTTCATCTCAGCCGACACCAAGGCTCTAAAGCTAAGGCGAAACATAATTACAAAAATGGATCAAAAAACCCAGTGGAACAGAAGAAGAAGATGAAGAGGGAAAAGGGCAAAAGAGGACAGACAATGGAAGGATTCATGGGTCATGATCTGTCCATCTCAAGCACTTCAGGACTTTCCATTATACTCTCTAAAGAAGGTTTCCACCCACTAACTTTACTTCTGCTTCTCTCTATCTCTTCCAACACATCTTCTAACCTTTTACCTCCTTTTTCTTTCAGTTGGAGTAATAGCCACCCCAACTCCTCCTTTGTCAACACTATTTTAATCCTCGTACCACTTGTCTGAAACCCATTTTCCTTTTCAAATTCAGCTGTTTTGTCTTCGTCTTCTTCTTCTTCTTCTTCATTCTGTTGCTTCTGGTTCTCTACTTGCTGGCTGTTTTTGCATGTCTCAATGCAATTACCCATGACTTCCGATCGCCGGAAAAGCGCCCTTCTCCGGGGAGATTAAATGGCTCTGAGAGTGCGATGTGGTGGTGTTCTCTAATAGAGCAGCCTAATAATTTAAGTAGTTGTTAGAGGTTTTCTCCAACTGCTGCGCATGTGATGGTGGGGTTATTTATAGCTGCTCACCTAATACCCAGAAACAGGAAAAGAGTAGGGTTAATTTCAAAAGTAGTCCTTAATGTATGAGTTCTTAATAATTTTAGTCACTAATGTTTCAATCGCTTTATTTTTGCTCCCAAAACCTTTTAATTTGAGTTTGTTTAGTAAGTAGTCCCCAAGTTTAATCCCTTCCAAATTCGTAAAGGGCATGAGGCTCACCTGACCCTAAACGAAGGGCAATTAGCGGAGTCATGTAAATAGCAACTATAGCATACGGTATAATTTTGTTGCAAATTTAGATCAAAATAAACGTAAAAATTGCATATATTAAAACTCATTAATATTTTAGAAGTTAAATTAAAGCAACTGAAATAATGGGACTAAAATAATTGAAAATGGATTTATATTTAAACTATTACTTTAATTTGTGACGTGTCAATCTACGTCATGATAAGAATATGTGACATCATGCTCAAGTCATTAAAAATGTGTTGTTTTCTTACAAAGAGGCTTGAGAGCAACTCTAAAACAATTGTCATTTCGAGATCTCAAATCATTTATTTATAATTTTGAATAATATTTTAATATTTTTAAATTATAAATCTATTTTAATAGTAGATGTGTGTCATTTTAATATTTTAATATTTTTTATTAAAAAATATAATTAAACTTAACGGTTATATATTAACGGATATAATGTTTACAACGATCACAATTTAACAGATATATTTTTATAGTAAAAATTTTAAAAATATTTATTTTAAATTAAAATAAATATATATACAGAGGCACAGAGAATTCCAGCAATTTGATTGCACCTCCTCCTCCTTCCCCTTCCCTCTGCGCTTCCTCTTTTTTCCCTTTTTCCTATGTGCCTGCGCCTCCTCCTCTTTCGCTTTGCGCCTTCTTTCCCTTTTCCTTTCCCTTCTCTCTCTCTCTCGCACTAATACTGTTCTCTTTACAACCTCTCATTCACTCTCTCCAGAATTTGAAAAATTATTACCTCAAGAACATTATTGTCGTTTTTCAACCCGTAATGTCTCCTTCGTTTGAGGAAAAAATTTTAAATTTAAAGTGACATTTTGATAGTTACATGCAATTATGAAATTGTCACCCCTGATACCACTCTTCCTCGGAGTTGCTCTAAAATAACAAGTGCACCAGTTAAGTACATATTGATTATAGTTCTTCCAACAAATTTCCATTATTATAAAATCTACGTACACAATGTTACATGTATACTGTGCTATCCGATATATATTAATACGTATCCATGTGGATATGTCAGCATGGTATTTCATGGAGAGAGGCAACTGCTATACCATACTCTGATTTTTCAACTTTGACAATTTCTATGATGTAGTTCATTGCAAAAGAACAAAGAAAAGTATCATTAGAAATCTATCACGTTGATTTCTTACTCCGCGAGGTGTCTTTGAAGACCAAAAAGTCAGTGGGAAGAACAACAAAATTAGTAGGTAAAAGAATAGGTCTCCATCTCCTGCGTACAAAAATATATAATGTTTTTATATGATTGGTCCTACTCAAAGAGGCATGGACTGAATGGCTTTAAGAACCAACAAAATTGGGAAAGTCAGAAAAAAAAAAAAAAAAAATTGGTACCGTTTCATCGTCTATTACTTTTATAATAAAGTTATACTTTTAAAAACAGAAATTATAATTGTTCAAGATAAAATCTTGATCGATCACATACACTCATAGTTGGTCATGAACTTCTCTCGAGTAATTATAACTTCTTCCTTGTCAGTTGTAAATTGATCTTTAAAAATTGTAAATTCAGTATTGACCACAACTTTTCATAATCGATCATGTCATTTACAAATTATAACTTACACCTTAACGTTATTTCACTAATGAAATACGCACACACACATCAGGTTTTGTTATACATATCTTAAGCAGTTTTGTACAACCCACCCAACTTGATGCTACGATATCCTTCTAACAATTTTAACAAGAGACAAAAAGTATGATTCACAAAAATTTTTGCAACGTAGAGCTCCACCGCAACAACCCCTTTTTTTGTGGGGGAATCAAGTTCCTTACCAACCATAAACCCCAATTTTTTCTCATTTGTTTTGTGTATTACCAAGTATAGTATAGGGTAATCTAGTCTTCTTCAATCATATTAAAATAGAACACCCAACTATGACCATGCAGAATAGTAAAATAACATAGGAGGAAATTTCCAACCCAATTACGACCATGCAGAATAGTAAAATAACATAGGAGGAAATTTCCAAATTCTTGTGGTGTGCTTAACCTACCAAGTTGCACAACATATTATTAACTTAATATTAAACTAGTAACCGACATTAACATTTTGATTATATTCAGTCACACTGTATTGTAAAATAAACTTGAGTGAAATTAAAATTAAACCGAACCCAAAAGCAGTCCTCTTATAACAAATAAAAGGCTCATTTTGATGACACAACACAGGCACAGGCACGGGCACGGGCACGGACACGAGAATAAATAGAGTGATGTCTCTATTACTACCACCAAGGTCCTACCTATTTATTGACAATTGCGTGATATCGAGGACTAATTAGTGGAAGAATTAAATGAATTCTAAGTCCGTAACTATGTTAAACTACTATAAGAAACACCGACAAAGCATTATGATTTGAATATCCCCATTTGTATTTTTAAATTTTGATTCTTTTATTTTTTTTGTTCTCTAAGTGCTTGTGGATGGAAATCCATATTTGATTCTCACTCTCATAATGGAGGGACCTCTTAAGCCAAATGAAAATCTTTTACTCCTATAATTGAAGATTTACTGAAATATCTTGTGCCCTCTTCCCTATTAAAATATGATGTGGGGGGTGCAGTATTAGACATTGAGTAGCCATAAGTGCTCTTCTATGTGACATATTATTGGTTCGAGATCAAAAATCAATTTTTGTAAAATAGAGCGATACTATCTATCACGTGTCTCTCACAGTCTGTTACGGGCAAAAATCTTGTACATTTGGCATAGCCTTTAAAAATATATCAATTACGATCGTTCCTAACACGACAACTTTTTCATATTTAAATGGATACTCTATTAACCTAATATCTTTAGGCAACTGAAGTATTGCTGATTGGTTCTTCTGGGGTGGGTTTTTTCTAGAATGATCCTGTAATAATAGCTTTCACGTGAAAGGTGGCACCCTTTACCTTTATCTTTCTAAGTATATGAAGTTATTTAAACCTAGTGAACTTTTCTTTTAGAATTTCAGTTTGACAAACTGCCATGCCTGAAGTTTAGTCAAGCATTTAACAGCGCCTATCACTCTCAAAGCAACAAAATAAACTGGGAAACTCTAATCATCACAATTTGCTATAAAGTCATACTTGCAATTGGAGCCAGACATTTAGTAAAACTACTCGTTAAGTAAATGAGAAATCTGGTTCAAGATGCATTTGATACTCCAAAGTTACTCATTGCCCCTGCTAATTTAACATAGAATTGAAGTATGACACATCAATCAAATCCAAAAATAAAATTGAAACCATTATGGTGATGAATAATATGTGAAAGGCTAGGCCCAATAGGTGCCCCCTCCCCCTCCCCAAGTAAAAAATAGTGCGGGTTCAAGCTCTAGCATGAGATAATTACATGATTATTTGAGCGCTTTGTAAAATTATCTTGTACGGACTTCGACAAAAATGCCTATAATCTAAAAAAACTAAGTCGGTTGTAACTTTATAAATAAAAAAACTTACACGGGAATTCTCACAAATTCAAATAATTTGAATATACGCAAAGTAATGCTGCAGTCCAATTGTATATATATAGGATGATTCTTGAACCTGGAGATCTTTGCCTAACCAACCTTTGAACAACCAAGGTAAGTATTTCTTCTCATAGTCTCATTTGCCTCCCACATAGTCAACACCTCCTTTGTCACGAGGTATGAGCGTTCACATGCAAAGAATGGTGTAGTTTGAATAACTGTAGAGGATTGTTAAAACCGTGATGGCACTAGTCCGTACTGTCTCTTTTACTACATTTTCTTTCCTACCAACAAACACTACAGTGAAAATTTATGACTAAAACTTCGCCTAACAAAATTTTCAACATTTCCCAATTAGATTCTCTATGAAAGCGTGATTAGGCCATTAGGGTATATATATATATATATAAATACCAAACCATGCACATCAAGTAAAAAAGACAAGGTCTCCTTAAAATCACACACAAACATGCATACATGCATGTCTTGATAAGAGTAATTCCACGCAAATCAAGTGCATATCATCTTTTGGATGAATCAATTTTTTTAGTAACACTCGCTCATCTAATACTCATCCAAAGATAATATGTATTTGAATTATAAGTTTTTAAATTCCATTTAGATTGTGTAGCTTTTTTCCTTGCGATAATACTCATTGCAAAGCTTCAAAGTGGGATAACTACTTTTAATTGTAGTTGTATAAATAAAAACAAAAACAAAAATTGTAATACCGAATTAGGTACTGTATCCAAAAATTGTAAAAGTTATAACCCAAACAGAGTTACAATCCAGAGGAGTTAAAAAAAATTGATTCCAAATTTTTAAGATTTATCTTTAAAGACTAATAATATTATAACTTGATTCATTTAAGTCCAAAGTCACTTTCCTCCTAAGAACTGTTGCATTAGTTACGTAATGATGACAAAAATATTACGCAGTATGCAAAGGAAGATTATCCATGAGAAAAAAAAACACACAAACATAAACTTTATATTCGATCGGATGGTTGAGAGTAATCTATCTGTCTTTGTGAATTAGGACAAAACACTAGTCAAGCCAATCGATTTTTTTATTTACGTTACAATAAATTAAATTTGTTTAGTTTCTGAGAACATATCTTTTGGCTTCACTAAAACGATTCTTAATTAAAGTATGAAGGACAATTTCGCTTTCACAGATCGCTGGACAGTGATGTGATGTGATATGTTTTGTCGACAGTCTCCGTAATTTTAGGTGGAAGGAAGGGGGATTTAGTTTTAAATTCTGCAGTGGGGACTTCTTTTTTTGACCGTTTGGGTGATTGGAACACAATCTTCTGCATAGTTCGGGAACATGAACAGCCTAATCTTGTCTTCACTCTTTAAATGAGTGTTGAAGAAGAAACGCAATATATATTGTGTTGGGAAGATAGATTTCCGGTCAATTCATCTAGATTGGCGTTGTAGGACTTGTATTTTGATGGTTCAAACCGCAAGCCATGGCCTCGCAAAGATGCAGAAATTGGGCAGACTGTCGTAGCTGCTTGTCTTTTAAACTTTAACGCAAAATTCAATCTCATCTCATTTAGAATTTTTTAATTTCAAATCATTTAAAACTCAAACTGAATCCGAATAACTCGATTATTTTATATATAAACACAAACCGAATTTTACAAGCTTATGTTAGATCTAAAAAATCATTTAAATTCAACTTATTTAAAAAAAAAACTAAACCCAAAACCAGCTACTCTCTCGATTATCAGCCCTACATCTAAAAATTTACTAGGATGCCTCCTTTAATCCATGTAACGACACAAGTTGTTGCGAGCATCAGAGCAACAACCCTACAGCATAAATTATATGTTTGTAACCTCTCCCAATTATTTTTTCCTCCTCGGGTGAATCCACATGAAAGGGATCTCTTTGAATTTCTCAAAAAGTTCAACCATGACCTAACACATTATTAAACAGATTCAAAATGAATTCATATCGAATTACACAAACCATTCTTGACCCGCCAACAACCCACCCAGACACAATAGTTGAGATTTGCATCCAGAATATTCCAAGAAAAATACTCGAATATCTCAAACTAATAAAAGACTACAAGGGAAGAGCACCGCGGGACCAGACGTGCTCTGTAGCAGCCATACCAGTAGTTATATAAGCAACAATAATTTGCTTTTTCTTTTTATGTCCAGCTATGTGGGAGAAAAGATTTGAACCCAAATGATGCATTGTAAATGGGGATCTACAAGCAACTTCACATGATCCAGTGCAAAAATGAAGAAAAGACCAGGGAATTGCAATTTTGCAACTGTCACACAAACAGGTCAAAATTGCCTCATTATAGAACAGGACTGCTTCAGTATTCAGGAAGATTCAGACCCATCTCCATGGACATGAAACAAAAACATCAAACTGATCACAAGGTTACGTAGGGCTCACTAAATATCGCACAGCCAGCAGCATAATCATAAAGGTACCAGAAGTTTCTTAGTCAATAGTTACATATGTCTAGAAGTTAAAATGGTCCATACTTGTAAGGAGTCTTAAGTTAATTCCTTCTCATACAGAAAACAGTCAACTACGTATATGAACTGGATATTTCTGAACTTCGAGCAGCTTCAAAATTACTACGGGAAAGTACACTCAGCAAGTGCAAAATAACTGCTACAGACATTCAGAAAATAACTTAAGGCGTGCGTCGCCGTTTCTTGGCAAGATTCTCGAAAACCTGGTGGACATCATCTGATGTGATTGGCTTTGATGAGTCAAAGGATTCCTGCCAACGACATGGAAGGATCAGTTCAACAAACACCATCAATGAATTGTACTGAATGAAAAGAATATATAATTCCATGTCTTCCCTCGGTACTGCAAAACACTAGTCAAGCCATTTAACTTTTGAACATACCAGGAAAGAATGAATCTCATTTTTCATGTCAGCAATGCCACTCAAAATCTCCATTTTCTGTACATGACCAAGATTATTGAGAAGAGTTAACTCGACACCTTCTTGTTGCTGCAACTTTTCATCCCTCTTTTGCTTTGCCATTTTCTCATACTCTACAATTGAGTCCTCCTTGTCGAGCAAGAAACCAATTCCCTTGTGTTTGTAGAATTCTGCACATTTTTCACATGTGCACAGCAGGTCTCTCCAGTTTTTAGAAAGAAACATTGGTTTACTTTTGTCTAGGTTACACGGAGCAGCAACCAGATCAACTCCAATAACACATTCTGTGCTTGGACCAGTACCTTGTATGCATTGATTTGAATCGGCATTCTTGTCAGAATTTTCTCCAACAGCAGACACATTTTCAAAATTAGCACTTGCAGTAGAGTCTACTTTGGGAGAGTCAGAAGAGCAACTTCCATTCTCAAGTTTCCGAGAGGTTCCACAGGCTGAAGGTGCAATTTCCACCACGTCTTTGTCTTTTGTCACATTTACAGCATTGTGCTTCTTAACTGCTACCCAAATGGACATAGGATAAAGAATCAAGAAAGAACAAACTCCTGCACACACCTGGCAGATAAAATCCTCATACAGAGGCTCCCCTTCATCATCTCTTGGAACCTGTCACACAAGTTATATGATGGTGATAGATCTTAATTATCTGCAATGTCAATACCCTAAAAAACAAAGATGGGAACTATCATTCTCAGAAGTATATAGATCGTGATATCTATAGTATATATTGTTATAATCAATTTAGTAGGACAAAGAGCTTGGGAAGTCTTTCCTCCCATTTTCTTTTTCTTAAATCTTTAGTTATTTAATTTTTTTACTAAGTTTCATCCGATCACATTCTACCACATGTCCCATGTAATCATCCCTCCACCCCAATAACTACCCACCAGTTATTAATTTGAACTAAAAATTTTCTATATAACTTCTCAAGTGATAGAAGTGAAAGAGATGGAAGCAGGATGAGGAAGAAAAATGAAAAAGAGCATAACAGTTCCCGTTCATTGCAAGGGTGAGACCACTAGTAGAGGATCATAAAAATGCAAACATTACTAAAAAGCAGATGGTAATCCACACAACACATTACTAGAAAATAGGACATCAATTCCAGACCAGATACCCAGGGTAAGGACAACGTTCTTTACACAAACAGAACCTCATACAAATCTGAAACAACCTAAATATAAATTCATAAATAAACAGAAATTACACAAAAGTATAAAGCTTAAATGGAGAAGATGACTCCCATGCTTCATATTCATGATCAATAGAATTTCTTTAGCAGATATATTGAAGGCATAATAAGTTCACCATGTTTGACACATGGTGCACAAGAATATGTAATGCCTTCACTTCATCAATTCAAACCTTTCAGCAGATGGTTTATAGCCTCTAATTGAACTATAACATATAATTAATTAATTATCAATTCGATAAAATTTTCTCCATATGCTAGTGACTGGTCTGCCTGCAGAAATTAGTTTATCATATAGCAAAAAACATAATGTGAACAGAACATGTCAACCAAAGACATGACAGGAAAAAATTAAGATTCTTTGCATAAAAGCACAGTGGAGAGCAAAACAAATTACCAACCTCATCAGAAGGTTCAAGACCAATATGCTCCTCATGAAACCAGTCCTCACATATACAGCACTGGATCATCTCCACCTGCTCCTCGACATCTGGATCCGGATAAGGGCGACCACATGTGCAATATGAACCTTTGAAATTTTGGTTGTATGAATTCTCTGCATTTTCAGTGTCTTTGTTTGGAAAAAGCTTGCAGAAGAATTCTCCAAACTTTGAATTTCCACAATCACATCTGAAATTCCTCTTGGTCCACAGTTCCACAATCTTGTTCAAATAACAAAAGATAGCCACCATCAGATGTAAGGAATAAGTAACAAAATAGGATCTCCTATAATTTCTAGGGAAGAACACGCAGGACAAGAATATTGTTTAAAAATCCATCGGTCTTAAGCAGAACTACAGCAGGACAGATGACCAAAACAATGATATTTATGCATAAAAAGGCAGATGTAATCCCACTCAAACAACAAAAAAGACATAAGAGAAATATTGACAAGCAGTTAATCCAGGCCACCACCTCGGGTTACATGATTCCCATTGATATACAGTAGTAGCTTTCAAGACCATACCATCATGGTTCATGGGGAAAATGGTAGTAATCCACATGTATGTGGATTAACAGTCGATGAACAAGGAAAAAGACATTTAAAATCCCTAGGGAAGTCATCATGAAGAAAAAGAAAAGCTCTGCAAAATTAAACATCAGGGAGATAAAATCCACAGATTGACCCCATAATCACTGCAACTTATTCAATCTAAATCATGAATTTCCAGCAAACAAAGGTATGATACAAGTATTCACATGCAACATCCACCCAACCCCCATCTTACTTCCTCCCAGGGTTGCTCACATTGATTAGGTGGGATATAAGCAGAAATGAAACCAGAGAATTAGGAAAAAAGGGGAGAAAAAACAGGGAGCTTTGCTCTCCATTTATTTTATAAGTTCCCAATGTCACTGCATGCACCACAAATGTCATCAGTGTGATAAACTAAAGTCCCTAAACAGTAGAATACCTCATGGCCATCATGGCAAGACAAGCTACAGGCCGTGCAAACTCCAGCATTCCCATCCGGTGAGCATGTCAAGCACGAGAAAATTGCCTGCCTCTTCATATAACCCTTGGTGTAGGTGCATTCCTTGCCTTCATCACCGCCCAAAACCAGATCGGCTTCCTTTAAAACCATAAAGTCAAAATACAAAACCCAACAACAAAGTCAAAGAGCATAAAATATAACTAAATTGATGTGATAAGTATCCTGTTCTATGTTTGCTTCACCAGTGGTATCAGAGACCAAGTGGTACTTTACGTAGGAAGTCAAGGCCATGAGATACATGTGATTACGGGAGATATGGATAATTACTCAAGAATAAAGAAAAAACAAATATATTTTCCAGTTTTTGTTTTCCATTTCTCTCCTCAGCACTCCCACGTTTTCTTGTACACTCGTGTAGATACTACAACATCAAGTCTGCGTACAATTACATTATAGAACACAGTGCAGATATGTTTGGCTTGGAACAGAAGTTTTTAAATAACAAAATATAGAATCGACTCTATGCAGCGAGGGCGCCTTTTTTCCTCCGTTCTCTCTAACAGACTATAATGTGAATGCCTAATGCTCACCAGGTCTGACTTCAATCACAGAAAAAAGAAGTGATTCACTGGTATTCAAGAGAACCGGGATTCTAAATTTACTAACACATTCACTGTCGATTTATGCACAAGGGGAATTAGCTCTCTCCAACATCTATTAACTTTTGACCTGTGCAAAAACGGAATTAACCATCCTGGCATCTATCCAATAAAAGGGCTAAACCAAAGAGAATTTTGATGCAAGTTTCGTTCTTCTTTCACATTTGAGTATTTTATTTCTTGTGTTTTCTGGGTTCCAACTAAAGAAAAAGTTCAATCCATTTTACAGACCCAATAACCAAGCGTAACAAATCAAACCCAACCATTTCCTTTTTCATGCATTCCCCAATCAATTAAATATATAGCAAGTCAATATATGATAAAGCCAAAAAATTACAACAAAAGCCCTAAAACCGTGCTTACCAACTCCTGTTCCTCAACACCTGTGAGGTACTCTTGGATTGAAACGGTAGGCTCAGCTTCCTCTTCAAAAACGTCAGCCATTTTTCACCAACGTAGATATCAAATTTTTAACAAAGTGAGTGAGCAGAATGGAGTACTTAGGTGAAATTTGATAGAGCGATGTCGATTTTGAGCATTAAAGACTTTTGGAAGTGACCTACAGAAAAATAAACCTAGGTTCTTTAAAAAGCGAAAGTGAGGTAGAAAGAAACGAGTCTAGTGCTGTGTCATTGGCATTTTGGGCACCAATTGAACGATGAACTCGATAGAGAGAGAGGGCGACCATGAATTAAAGGGAAGAGTACCGTCGAGGGGAGAAAGAGAGAGGGAGGTTATGGGTGTTGGAGATGAGTTAGGGCTTTTACATTGGGAAATGGCTATGCGGGGCATTTTCCCGCCACATTGAGGCCCCGATTTGACCCAAAAACGTAATGTGTTCCCTCCAAAATCGACTATTTTCGGTGCCTCTTTCTGTATTTGGGACTTTTAGGAGGATAAAATTACAATTTCCTCATCAATTTTGATCGATTTTTCAGGATTGTATGTGCTTCGTATGTTCTCTGCTCACTTTTTAAGTGTTTTTCGAAGTCGGAAGTAGTTTAAATGATAATAAAAATAAATTATAAATTCTGACATTTTAAGTTTAAATTTTAAAAATCTCTTGAAATTAGGTTACGAAAAATTTATTCCTCATAAATATAAGAGTAATGTTATTTGGACCTAAAAATTTGACCTAATTTGCTGACTTAATGATGTAACTTAATAGGAATTATTGGATCAACACCAAGTTCTAATATTTAATGGGGTCTACAGTCAATCTAAAAATCACAGTGAATTAGGTCAATAAATTAGATCAAATTTTTAAATTCCAATAATATTGCTCTAAATATAATAGTTTCAATATAAATAGTGTGCTTTTAACTAAATTGAAGAAACTGCAAATAAATTGTTATATACTCTGGACTTATCTGTTGTAAGGTACATAACACCCATGTTACTGACTGGCAAGTAGGTTCATATCTCAATGGTCCTCTTGTTATAGGCAACAACGGCACTATGGACCGTGGATCCATATTAGTGCGATCGTTCGATCTGGTCCAACCCGAAAAATAAACATAAACAAGCCACTACAAGACGAAGATGCACACCAGCCCAGCCCAGCCCATGTAGTAGCAATCCATTGCAGGCCCATAACAGAATTAGAATGTCTGCACAAGCTAGAGTAAACAATAAACTAGGGTGCAACTCGGGCGGGTTGGATAATCAACTCTAGTCCAACCCTAAGTATACAATCTTCAACTTTAATTTTAACTCTAACCCTACCTCGGGTTGGGAAACTCAACCCGAGCACTGCCCGAGTTTAATTCGGGCAGGCTCGGGTTGAATTCGAGTTGATGATTTCAAGCTGATTTTGAGTTATTTTACGGGTTCAATTCAGGTAGAGCCCAAAATAGGCTTGTTGTTCTAAACCTAATACATATATTACATAATATTCACCTAAATTAATAACCAATAACTTCAACCAAGTTTTTAACGAGAGAGGCAAAGAGAACGAGAGAGACAGAAAGCGACAGAACAAAAATGAAAAATCAGTGTTAATGTTTTATATATATAATATATATATAATTTTTTCTTTAATCTGTCGGGTTCAGATTGAACTCAGATTCACGAGACCTTAACCAGAGCCCAACCCAAATTGAATTCAAGTTGGGATTTGTTGACCCAAGTCCAACCCAAGTATTAAAAATTCTTGTTCATGCCCTAATTTTTTCGAATTAGGCTGGGGTTGAAATCGGGTTATCCAACCCAAGTTACACCCCTATAATAAACATCAGATTGAATGTAAGGGATAGCAAAGGAAAGACAGAGATAAGCTCTAAATTCAAATATCTTGAAATTTGATAAATTTTTTTGGAATTATGTCGTGTAAAATTTATCTTTTAAGAATTTTCTAGTTCTAGTATGATGACCCTACTTTTAATCAGACCAGAATAATATTAGTCAAAATACGTGTAAACTGATTCAAATAATTCTGCCCGACTGTAATTCCATTAGTTTTTTAAGGTTAATTGTATTAGAGATATTCAAAATATAAAGTTTATCATATTTTAGTCCCCTAATATTTTAATTGTATCGTTTTGGTCACTGAAGTATTAAATATATTTTTATGTGATCCCTCAAGCAGATAACATCCAAATTGTTAATAATTTTTTTTCATAAACTTGTCATGTGATACCTAAATATAAGTAAAAAATTATTTGGGTAACTCTTGACAAAATATATGTAATATGGGTAATTCTTGACCAAAATTTGGATAATTTATAATTAAAACTGTGTAATTTTAATATCTCTTTGACCAATTTAGTCAAGAGTTATTCAAATTATTTTTTTACTCATATTTAGGTATTACGTGACTAGTTTATAATTAAAAATTATAAGTAATTTAAACGTTATCTGCTTGAGAGATCACATAAAAATATATTCAATATTTTAAAAATTAAAAATAATACAATTAAAATAAAATAAATCCCATATTTTAAAGAACTTCGGTGTGGTTAAACTTTTTTTTTTTTTTTATCATTGTGAAGTGACAATGATGGATTATAAATCTGCATTTACTCCTCAGATGTCGCTATTACAAGTTGCACCAACTACTCCTTAGAGACCATGTAAAATGATGTGACAACCTGGCTGGCTGGGTTATTCATTAGTCAATTAAAAAAAAATATATCTCGAATAGAAAATATCCCTCGAGGTCCAATTCCTCTTGGTTCCAAGCTTGAATTTTCTATTTTGTTCAATGCTTGTGACTTGTCTTTGATTGCGTTCATCTAACGAAAGATGATGAACATAAATCATCAGCATGAACTAATCAGATTGTTTTGTAAATTAACAAAGCTGTTCTAAATAGTTTTGTCAATATATTTAAGAATTCAACTTTGCCTTGTTTTATTTTTGGTATACGTCGTCTTTTATTCAAAAATTTACAATTAATGCTAACTAACTTATTTGTTACAAAAATGTTAAGTAGCTAGCTGGCGAATTATTGAGCTCTTTTGTTTGATTAAGTCAGCAAATTTATCTAAATATGCTTAATTAAAATAACAAATTAAATTTAAATAATATTACTGGTAACGTATTAGGCAATTGGAACACTTTTTGCTGTATACGATGACAACAAAACAAATACATTAGTGTTTCATAGGCAGGCTGGTCCTTTCAACTTTTTTTTTTGTTCATTTTGAACAACTGTTTCCACCTCCTGGAAAAAATTCAAAAAAAATCTAATTATTGGACCATAAAAGTCATTGTTCAACACGGTTTGACTAGTTACAGTGGCTAAGGACTAATCTCATTCAAAATATATAAATTGTGTGCTAAGGAAAATTTGAATCTTTCAATAGGTCTTTGGTCTTTTACAAGTTCAGAACCAAACAAATCTATTCTAATAAAAAAATAATCCCATGAGTCAGGACCGTAACTATGTGCTGCCACAATTTGATACTTCTAAGCTTCTAAACGCACGCACAAACATATATTTGGGCCAGACAAATAGACCTTCATGCAATTGAATAATTCTATGTACATATAAAACTATTTTTTCGACCCTTGAAAGGTGTATGGGTCGACTTCCAATCACCATAAAATCAAGAGAGAGTACTCGACCAAATATAATATAAGAAAAAATTATGACTTAATCGGATAAAATTATCACTCTTTGGTGTTAAAATAAAAAAATAAACCCTAACATGTTGGGACCAATCTCTAATAATTAGGTTCAATCTCAAGTAATTATTTTTAATCCTTATTAACCTCGTTGATTAGTAACTTAACCCAATTGAGAATAGTAATTTCAGTAAAACATCAAAAATAATTTTCAATACCGTAATCTTCCTCTAGAATTACTACTAATGCATTGAGACAAGCCTAATTCCCCAAAAGAAAGAGACACATACCCTCCGCTGGGACTTGGTACACAGTCCATATAGTTTAATTACACAGAACATTCGGATGGTTGAAGTACTTATGTAATGTCTGATTTTAGAGGATTCTTACCGACATGAACTTATTAATAGAATAATACTAAATAAACTTAAAAGTTAGATTAAAAAGGATTTACAGTAAAATTATTAAACTAAAATCAAACAGCTTGGGCTTGTTTGTTTCTATAACAAAATGGACACCTTACGACCCTGCTTATTCTCCTTCTTCTTCTTCTTCTTCTTCTTCCCCTTCACCTTCTTTACACATACTGCTTTATCCGTTGTAGATTGCAAGACGTCGTCGTGCGGTGAAGCCGGACCGAAGGTCCGGTTTCCTTTCCGGCTAAAACGCCGGCAACCCAAGCGTTGTGGCTATCCAGGGTTCGACCTGTCATGCAACAACCAGAGCCAAACAGTTCTAACCCTGCCTGACTACGGCGAACTCATCGTAAAGTGGATCAATTATGATTTACAAGAGATACATATCAATACTGACCCAGATTTTTGCCTTCCAGAAAAGATTCTGAAGATCAATCTATTGGATACTCCGTTCAGAGGAGTTAATTTGAGGAACTACAAGTTTCTCAACTGTTCATCAGGCTGGTCCGAACACACGACGGTTCACGCCGTGCCATTGTTTTGCCTAAGTGGTAATAACTACACTATTGTTGCTATGACTCCTTACTGGTATTCTCTGAATAACATGTCATCGTCGTGTCGGGTTATATCCACGGTTTCGGTTCCAGTTTCTCCGTTCACGTCTTATATGAACCTCAGTCAGGATCTTCAGCTGATGTGGGTTTCACCTAGATGCTGGAATTGTGAAGCTGAGGGGATTTGTGGGTACGACAGTGATACTGGGATGGGAATTGGTTGCTCCAAACCTCCTAGCCAAGGTAAGTTTTTTTTGTTCTAAGCTTAAGGTGTTATGATTTTCATGTACCATTCAGATGGAATGACTGTGAAATTATATTAATACTTCTGACACTGTTGTTGTTCAAGCTAACACATCACTTAATGCAGGATTAGGTTAATTAGGCTTATAAATTGAAACAATTTATACATGTAGTGGGCTCGGTTCGAACTAACAAGCTCAACTAAATTATCAGTCCTACTGATGATCCATTTAAATCTAATTTTTTAGATATAAACTATGTCAATTTTGGAGTTCGGTTTAGCATTAGAAGGCTCATGATCCTTCTCACCTCCTAAATAAGACATTAAGATGTATTCTAACCATTGTTCCTATGATCAAGGATAGTCATTTCCTAGGGTTGAATAAACCACTTAATATTGTAACGCATGTTTTATGAAGTGATTCTCAAAAAGTTCAACTCTTTAAAAATCTCTGGATTTTTTTAAATCCCCGAAAACCTGGTGAAGGAGTCTCCTATTCTAATAGTCTAAAGGCTAATTCCAGGATGCTTCCTTGGGTATAAGCTTGAGTGGATGTAGAAATATAAACACAAGAATCAAGCTCCAAAAATTGCACTGATACAAAGGTTGAATGAAATTAATATCAAAATCTTGTAACTGTTAGTTTTTGGGTGATACAAATGTTGTGCCCTGAACTGCATCATGAAGTGTGTAAAGTTTAGTTTTTAGGTGATCCAAATGTCGTGCCCTGAACTGCATCATGAAGTGTGTAAAGCAGAGTGGTTCAGAAACGAATAGAAATTTGGAATGAGTCAAAGATGGTATACTAAGGTATCAAATATAATAGTTATTTTTAGAGGAATATCGTGTTCACCTAATTTTTTTACCAAATTATCGATACTAAATAATGTGAGTGAGTGAGAGTTATTGCGTAGTTAGTAAAAACTTGTAAGTATGGCTATTAATTGAAGTGAGCTATTTGAATTTGGTTTGGGTTCAATTCGTTTTGAACTTATTTAAGCTCAGATCGTTTTTTAAATGAGACGAATTTGAATGATTTTTTAAACTTGTTTAGAAAGCGAGTTTACCAGACTCAACACATTTTTGTGTAAATACTCGATCTTAACTTAGATTCGATTCGTTTTGAGCTCGTTTAGACTCGACTCGTTTTTTAAATAAGTTGAAATTGAACAATTTTTTAGACTTGTCTAAAAAAATGAGTTCGACAGAATAGACTCAAACTCGTTCGATTGTCGGCTTTACTTGTGGGACCCACTAGTCCTTGATTCATATTGATTTAGGATTGGGGATTTGGTAAAAGTTTGATACATTTGTTGGTAAAGAAGCCTTTGACTTATTTACATTTTGGAATGTAATGCGAATATTCAGGGAAAGATAAGTCCTTGTGCCACCATTTTTCTTTCCCTGAAAACGAAATGGATAGCTATGGATATGGAGGCTTCTAACTTATACCATCCACCTACTTAGACCAGCTACTTGAGAGCTTATTGGTTGACTCTTTCAACCTGCAATTAATGCGGATTATATATATATACACACACACACACAAAAACCTTGACAGATTTGAATCCAATTATTCATCAGATTTTGATCATTTCTTAACCTTTCGCATTGTATTATTGGCCATTGAACAAGCTCATGCTAATTAACTTGTCACTGTTTAGTGCGCTCTGGTAGCTTGAGCCCTTTAGCAGTATATGAGATCCCATCATGGCATTGAAAATAATATTTTGCTTAAAAAAGTTTCTTACTGGATTAATAAAATTCCCTTAAAATAGTTGCGCAGACAATATCAAACAAATTATTACAAACATATCAAAAGTTTTTAACTCTAACCACACTAGAGGTGGTCTAGCGGGAAATCGATCGAATTTATCACCTTGAGATTGAGGGTTCAAGTCTTAGAATATACATTGGGGCTCAATAGTTGATCGCTACGAGAGATATAACGAGCAAGATTATGGATCTTATGATCTCACCAATTAAAGTCTATCGAAGTGATTTTTGGACGATCTCTTTTGCTTTCACCCTTTTTTTCAATATCAAAAAAAAAAAAAAAAAAAGGGTCTCACACCTTGTGTCTAAAAGTAGTTTTTTTTTTTTTTTTTTGGGGGGGGGGGGTTTAAAACTATGTTATCACTTTTTTGGTGATTTTTTCTTTTCATTTTATTTTATAGCCTTCTGTATGACTGTCTCAATTCTTCATTTTGCACTTATAGGTCTTCCAAGGAGTGCTAAGTATGGCATAATCATTGGTGTTGGTATACCTGCCGTTGTATGCATTACTGGCTTTGCATGTTACATATGCGGCATGGTAAGGGACTTTGGTCAGCGCCATCATCCAAATACAGAACTCTCCACCACCACAATCGCTTCACAGCCAGCAATCATCCTCACAGGGCTTGATGGACCAACTATAGCTTCTTTTCCAAAGACTCTTCTTGGGGAGAGTCGTCGATTGCCGAATCCCAATGATGGCACTTGCCCAATATGTTTGTCCGAGTACCAACCCAAAGAGACCCTGAGGACTATACCAGAGTGCAATCACTATTTTCATGCTAGTTGCATAGATGAGTGGCTCAGCCTCAATGCCACATGCCCTTTATGCCGGAATTCGCCAGACAGTAGGTTGGTGGCTACAACTTCTTCATCAGTCTCGTTTTCATCGTCGTTGTCTTCTTCTTCTTCTTCCTCCTCATAGATTACCATCGTCGTCTCGATTTTATCAGCAACAACATATATATGTGGTATTATATAATGAGCTCAAATTTGACACTCGACACTCGACTTATGTTTGATTTAGTATTGGGTCTTTTGCACTCCCAATTTTTTGTTACTTCGTTTAAAAAAAGCCCATTAAAACCAACCCGATGCTGAACCACGCTAAAAGCCTAAAAGGGATCCGCACAATGGTCCGCATCCAAAAACCGGCCCACCCGACTTTAACCCGGAAGAGACAATAGATTCTCACGCATAAATTATGGAACTCCAAAAAACAGATTTGTGACACCTCCGGTGTCTTTATAGAAATTTTTTGGAACAATGAAAAATTTAATCTACTCCTCCTGTAGTTAGGTCTAAATTCAATGACACTTTTCTTTCAATTTTGAAATTTTAATGTCACCCCTTATCAATGATTGTCGAGTTATGGCGTTAACAGCGATAGTTGATTTATAAATATACCCCTAAATATTTTATAAGGTAAATTTTATCTACACCCCTTATAAATAAATTTAACTTTAACAACACTCTTGATAAATGGACCTAATTTTAACAACAACTCCTCTCGATTCTGAAATTTCAATGCGCTTCTTTTTAGTTCAATTATATTAGCTTTTAGGTTAATCAATTTAATATTAACCTTTAATGTCTTTTGTTTAATTTAAACTAAATTAACATTTCATCTCATCTCATCAAATCAACACAAAATTAATATTTAATTTTATCAAATTAGTATTAAATTGTATTAATTTAATATTTCATTTCAAAAAATTAATGTTATTTCTTTAATTTTACATTAAATTACTATTTAATTCATTAAATCAACATCAAATTGACATTAAATTTTATTAAATTAAAATTTAATATATTATAAATTCTATTAATTTTACATTTAACCTTATCAAAATAATGTTATTTTTTTTAATTTAACACCAAATGAACATTCAATTTCATTAAAGTAACATTCCAATTTCTTCAATTAATATTAAATTATATCAAATCAACACTAAATTAATATTAAATTTTATTAAATTAACACAAAATTAATTTTTAAATTTATCAAATTAAGACCAAATTTATTCAATTAATATTAAATTTTATCAAATAAAATTTAAATTTTATATATGAAGGATAATGTGTGAAGAGTGGTCGAGTGACATTTGTGGAGGATAAATGATAACAAAGGAGTTAGAAATTGATGAGATTTTGATATTAACTTTACTGCTTGTGATTTTTATAATACAAAAATTATTTTTAACTATAAAAATTATAAAAACTTTATTACGTAATTAAATGCGTAATAATATGATGACTAATATTATAACAAATGTATCATGCAATAGTTTAAAAAGATAAAAATTAATTGCGATAATATAATGATAAAAATTATGTTTGTTGGCTGGCTATGACATATATAATGAGAAACAGATTAAAGATATTTTAGTCTATTTATATAAAAAGGAGTAATTTTGGTATTTTTACAAAAAAATTTAGTCAAATCATTACTTTATTTACCGACAAAGACAAAAGTTATCGGAGGTATCATTGATTTAAAAGTATAAATCAAAAGGGGAAAGTTTTAAAATCGAGAGGGGTATCATTGAATTTAGACCTAATAAAAGGGGTGTAAATAAAAATTTTCCAATATTTAATCTCTTATGTTAGGGCAATAAAGATTTATCCCTCTTGAATATCTTAGTTTTGACGTAGATGATCTACCTTTGACTTAACCAAAGAGAAAAATTTGTTGAAGTATGTGTAACCTGACTTAAATACCTCTGACCGTTAAACTAAAAAAAAATATATATATATATATATATATTTAATAGTTATCACGAAGTAGAGGCGATAGATAAAAATTTAAAAGAGTATATATATTTCTATCTACGAAAAACTTTTAATTTCCTATTTTACCCATAATTATTATAATAAAGTCAATTCTATCCACCTATGTACTTTCATATAATTTTTGTTTGTTTACACCTATTTAACTTTTAACTTATTTTATTTTAGACTCTTTTATAAAGATTTCTAAATTATTTGGAGTTCACATATTAGTAATATAGTTACATACAATTATCTATATTTATATGAAAAAGTAAAGTCCTATATATGTTAAATTATTAAACACATGTAGTGATCAGGATAAATTCTACAGTCAAATAAATGTTAAATTTTATTTTTTTGTATGTAATAATATATAATAATATTAAAAATTATCTAATCAATCTATTTAATAAAATAAAAATTAATAATTTTATAATATATTAGATGTGCAAATGCTCAAAGGGGTTGAAGAGATACCTAAATAAAAGACATATTAGTTGTTCAAAAATTTATAGAATAAATTAATAATTAAAATACGAATTAATTATTCAGCACATAATTTATTATTTAATTCAATTACACATAAAATTCAATTTTTTTGTAAAAATAATATTATTTAAATTTATTACGTGCAACGCATGTCGTACATTATTAGTACTATTAATAAAAGTATCTTAGAATGAAAATTTTTTAATTTACTATTTTGTCCTTATAAAAATTATAAATGCTAACATGTCATTTGGTATTTAAATATGTAAATTACGATTATATGCCTTTGTATTTAAATAACAAATTAATCTCTAATATATCATATAAATCTTTCTATCTTTGTAAAACTTTTAAATGGTCATGTTATACTTGTCATGATATATAAAAAAATATATTAATATATATTAAATACTTCACTGATAAAATATTATCTCTAATGCCCAAAATTTGATATAATTATGTTTCTCTTTGTTCACAAAACTAAAAACATGAAAGATAAAAAGAAAAAAAATGGAGAAAAGAAAATCTTATAAGCCTTACTTTTTTGTAGCTCAAACAATTTAAGTATAATAAATATGAAATAATATATATTTTAACTATATAATTAGATTGTTTTTATTCATTTTATCAAATATTTCACACAAAAATTTTACTTGCAACGCACCATGATCATAAAAAAATTAGATTGTTAAAAAAAATCGTGTAATACTTATGTTAATTGTACAAAAGAGAAGAAAAAAAATAGCTTGTGGTACATACATATCAAAACACAAAAATATTTAGGGAAAATTTCATCCACACTTTCTGTAATTAGATTTAAATTCAAAGGCATCCCCTCCTAATTTTGAAATTTCACCGTCACACCCTGTCAGTATTTGTTGAATTACAGTGTTAACAGAAATTGCTAATTTATAAAAATACCCTTGAATATTTTATAGGGTAAATTTTATTCACATTTCTTGTAAATAGACATAACTTCAACGACACCCCCATATAAATAAACATAACTTTAACGACATCCCCTGTAAATAGACTTATTTTTAACAATACATCCTTCCGATTCTGAAATTTCAATGCGCTCTCTTTTTAATGTCTTTTATTTAATTTAAACTAAATTAACATTTCATCTCGTCGAATCAACACAAATTGACACTTAATTTTATCAAATTAGCATTTAGTTATGTTAATTTAAATTTTTTTCATCAAATTAATATTATTTCTTTAATTTAATATTAAATTATTACTTAATTTCATCAAATCAACACTAATTTGATATTTAATTTTATTAAATTAAAATTTAATATATTAAATAGAATATTAAATTCTATTAATTTAACATTTAACCTTGTCAAATTAATGTAAGTTATTTAATTTAACAGCAAATGAACATTCAATTTCATTAAAGTAACATTAAAATTTATTCAATTAACATTAAATTTTATCAAATCAACATTTAATTTTTTGTTATCAAATCAACACTAAATTAATATTTAATTTTATCAAATTAAAATTAAATTAATATTTAAATTTATCATATTAAGACCAAGATTATTTAATTAATATTAAATCTCTATCAAATAATATTTAAATTTTATATATAAATGATGGTGTATGACGAGTGGGCACTTGACTTTGTGGAGGACAGACGATAACAGAAAATTAGAAATTGATAGAATTTTGACATTTATTTATCGATTGTAATTTTATTATAAAAAAATTATTTTTAACTATAAAATAAATTTAAAACCCTGTAATTTATATAACAAACAAATAAAAACATATCACAGAGGAAACTTAGATAATATAAGAAAATAAAAAACCGAAAAGTGTACCTCTCACCCAACAACTTATAAGAAAATTGACTTAATGACTAAAAGTCTAACGGGTGTTTTGGATAAACAAATTTGCATGGAAAAAAAAAATGACAAGGAAAAAAATAAAAAAAAATTGCATGAAAAATATTTACAAATATGCAAAATATATATATATATATATATATATATTTACCAATTTAGGTAGTGATCGATTACTGTAGAGAACGAGTTGAAAGATATAGCTGGATTCAATTCCTTATGTCTTCTAGCAGCCCTATATCGTTTTGGACCTTTACAAACAACAAAATGTGTGGTAAAATATAGTGGAAAAAGGGTTGAAGACATTTTAATAAATTTAGTTATTTACATAAGGAAAGGGTAGTTTGGACATTTTTTTAAAAATTTATAGTTAAACCGTTACTTTTTTTACAGGGGTATCTTTGATTTGAATGTATAAACCATAAAGGGGTGTAGTGAAGTTTCAGAATCCAGAGGAGGTGTCATTAAATTTACGCTTAACTAGAAGAAATGTGGATGAAATTCTTTTTTATTGGACAAGACATTAATAAGATACAAATTTGATATAAATTAAATATTATGATCACATTACAATACTAACTATTTATAATATAAAACATAACACACCAGGGGCGGCTCAACAATATTAAAAAAAAAAAAACTTGGGCTTTAGACTCCAAATTTTTAGAACACCCCATAATTTTAATTACATTACTAATCTAGAAAAAATTTAAATCCTTTAAATTTTAAACCTTAAAAAAAAGGCTCCAAAAATTAAGTATAGTCAAAATTTTTATTATAATAATTTGGATCCATAATCTAATTCATAACATTAGAAATTTAAAATAAATAAATTTATATCTATACTACTTATAAATGTCACCATGTGTGAAAAAATTTTGATTCCTATTTCACCCTTGATTATTACCATAAAACTAATTATACCTACATATTTTACTATCTTTCATATCTACTTGATTTCTAAAATATTAGTTAGATAAATTTTATCTCTATGACTTGGTAGATAAAATTTATCAAAATATTACCTAGATAAACTTTATCAAAATATTAGCTATATAAACTTTATCTCTATGACTTGATAGATAAACTTTATCTCTATGACAATACATTATTTCTTTTTCATTCAATTGTACAAACTCTACTAGAATTCTAATATCATATATTGATAATTTTTAGGTGATACATATACATATATTTTTTTCATCTTTCCTACTTATTAAACTTCTAAAATATTTTGAATTCCTTTATATATATATATATATATGACAATACATTCTTTCTTTTCCATTTAATCGTACAAACTCTATTAGAATTCTAATACCACATATTGATAATTTTTAGGTAATACATATAATATATTTTTTTTGTCTTTTCCTACTTATTAGGCTTCTAAAATATTTTGAATTCCTTAACATATATATATAATTGGGATCAAACTTTCCAGTAAAGTTATCGAACAAGTTTTTTCTTCCATTTACGTTAGAGTTAGAAGTTGACCTACCATAGTTATTTATTTGAAGTCTTATGATCTCATTTTTTGCCAGATAAACTTTATCACTAATATTACAAAATTTTTGCTAGATAAATTTTATCACTATATATTAGCTAGATAAAATTTATCTCTATGACTTTTAAAATTTTTACTAGATAAACTTTATCATTATGACTTGTCAGTATATATATATATATATATATGTATATATATATTTTTTGCTATTTTTTAGGTGATAAACACAACCATCGAAAATTTATTATTCATTGTTATGTAATAAAAGATTAGAAGAGTAAAGAGCTAAACCCATATATTTTTCTTTTTTTCATACCTATTAGATTTCTAAAATATTTTGAATCAATTGTACAAACTTTATTAGAATTATAATACCACATGTTGGTAATTTTTAGGTGATACATATACATATATATTTTTTTCTTTCCTACTTATTAGACTTTTAAAATGTTGTGATTTCTTTCATATATATATATATATATATATATATATATATATATATATATTTATAACTATATAGAATTATAATACCACATGAGATCAAACTTTTCAGCAAAGTTATCGAACAAGTTTTTTCTTTCATTCACGTTAGAGTTAGAAGTTGACCTGTCATAGTCATTTATTTGAAATCCTATGGTCTCATGTTCTTCTTTGATAAACTCAATGAAGTCGAAGTTGGAGTTTTTGCCATAATTGAGGTTAGTTTATCAATTTATCTGTTTTAGTTTATTAATTCATATGTTTACGTTAATTCATATGTTCTGTGACACTTAATTTTTCTTAATTTAATGTCAAACAACTTTTCTAAGAGATTAGTGTGGCAGGTCAAGTATTCGGCAAAATAATTGATGTTAGTTTATTAATTCTTATATTTTAGTTTATTAAATTAGTGTGGTAGGTCGAGTATTCGGCATAATTAAGGTTAATTTATTAATTATTATGTTTTAGTTTATTAATTCCTATGCTTGAATTTATTAATTCCTATGTTTACGTTAAAATTTTCTATGTTAGTGTTTCTTTGTTTTATTACAACCTCTCGCGAATTCAATTTTTCATTGCTCATATAGTTAATATTTTGAAAAGCTTGTTCAAATCTCCTATAATATTGACTTAATTATTCTTAAAATTTAAATTGATGATAAATTCTAACATTTATTGAGACCAAACAATCAATCCAATAATAAATAAATTAAATTCAAAATTTTTTGGGTATTTTTATATATACCATATTTTTGAGTATTTTTATCATTTATTGACTGAAATCTATCAAATTTTGAGGTTAAAAAATTAAGTGCCTTTTTTCTTGGTATTTTAATTATTCACTTACCTTTACAAAAAATAATTCAATTTTATTACTTATCAACTTTGTATTTCAAATAAATTTAATAACAAATTACTAAACTAAATTTTTTTTCATGTGCAACGCACGTGTACATTGCTAGTAAAATAAAAAGTACATAAAAGTTAACTTCTATTTTCCCCTATCTACTCTTTCTATAAAAATAAGTAAAAGACATTAAAGAAAAATTAAAATTAAACATAGTCTCCGTTAAAAAAACAAACCAAAAGTTAAAACATTTTTCTCGGTAAAACTAGCATGTCCTTCGTCTCTGTCTCTCTCTCACATAATAAATTAATTTTTTTAAAAAATTAATATTAAAAATAAAAGGCCTTCATTTAGCATTTTTGTTTTAGGTCTCAAATTTTCTTAAATCATCCTTTTGACAGATTTCAATAAGTCTATCCAACAATCTCAAATAGACTCATTTAATGACCACCAATATATCTGTTAAAATTATTTATATTATACCGTCCCTTCAAATATGTCTGTTAAAATTATTTATATTATACCGTTCCTTTAAACACGAATTATGCATAATAAAAAATATATTTGGACAGCATTTATTATTAGCCTGATATCAAATTTTAATATTAGTTGACATTTAATTTCAATCGAAGAACAACCATGTATTATATCATGTCCAACATATTAGGTTAAGACAAATTGAGTCACCTCAAAAACCCCGCAAAACCCTCTACCTCTCTCTCTCTCTCCCCCGCGACGCCATAACCTGTAAGCTGTCGTACCAATCTTTTATTCGTAATCGCTGTCGAAATACTTAAATCACTGTCCAAAAATTAGGGCTCGGAAAAGTGCTTTACTTTGAATCATTGTAACTTCAAAACCCTTTTCAATCATTTCTGTGCACTAATTCCTAGGGTTTCCTGCGTATATAATGCATATGGCTATGTGCGTGTGCATAAGGATTTAATGTTTTATATTTTTGGTTCTAGTAATTTGTTTACCTGACAGCTTTGTTTGAAGGAGGCACAACAATGGGATATAGACGTAGTATCACCACAAGAGCGAAAGTTCTCTATCAGCAGCGATTCAGTCCATCATTTGGTTACATTCACCACGATGATGATCGGAGACGTAACGCGGTGTCTGAAGATCCGAAATCCCCCAATTTCCTTCAACACAGATCAATTGGAAGCAGCTTTAACACTTCGTCCGGTTTAAGCGCTCTGTTTCGAGCTACAAAATGTTCGCAATTCTTCGTTCCAATGAATACTGGAACGCTTTTAAGTAGAAATATGTCGACTACGGTTGGTGAAGGAGCGGACAAGATTGATTACATGACTGATGTTGCGGAAGTGCTTGTGGATAAGACCGTCGAAGCTGTGAATTCTCAGGCACCGGCCATAAGTGAAGTGGCTATTGCGGCTGCGGATTCGTATTTTCCGGTTGCGGCGTTGCAGTATGTAATTGATTATGTGCATTCTTTCACCGGATTTAATTGGTAAGACTGCTGTCTTATAACACCCACACCCACACCCACACGAAATTTTGTTTTCGCCGGTAGAAGAATTAGAAGGGATATTGTATATTTTCAACGACTTGGGGAAGAGCGGCGGTCTTGAGGTGCCTATTTGACTAGTCACCGCCGCAACCTCCCGCAACCACGGGGCGGCTTGCCCACCAAAAGACGCATTGAGTAATCTTAGAAAACCACAATTGGAAATCTATGAATAGATAGTATACATCCTTATTCCCAAGAAAATGCAACTCCTAATAGTTCTATATCATTTTAGTGCTCAATTGTTACTATGCCCTTTCATGCTATTCCTTCACCAGTTTACACTCAGTATCATTTTTTCACTTACTGTCTTATTCCATGAAGAGCTTCGACTTAACCTAAGACTCGTAGAGAACTGACTTAGGGTCAGAGTGTCTTGGGTCATTTTCACACCAGATCCATCATTGGGAACATATATTTACACAGAATTCACCCTGAGGTTTACATAAGGTTCTGGCACAACGATTTTACAATGTCCATCACTAGTACCATCTGCTGAGTCATATTTTGTGTGGCCACCAAGAAACACGAGTTGGAGATGATGTCCCCTCCATATATTGCTTTTTTCTTCTTAAAAATAAAAAATGCTATATAAATTTGGGTATTTCCTTTGAAAATATGATGCATGTGAAAGATTAGTGAGCAGTTAATTATAGTTATCCACTAATAACAAAGGGTATATGATTTCATGAAGTATTTTTTTAATTGCAATTTTCAGGTGGGCATCCATTGTTGTCACTACTCTTTTGATTCGAGGGCTAACCGTTCCACTTATGATAAATCAGCTCAAAGCTACTTCGAAATTGACTGTAAGTTTTGATACCTTTTCTTGCTCTTTGCTTTGTTTATATGCTGAAAACTTGAAGCAATCTTCCTTTTAAATTAAAGAATTCGATATACGTCATCAAAATTATGTCCATCCCTAGGTTCACCCCCTCCAACCCCCTCCAAAAAAAAGAAAAAAGAGAGTGGGCTCCCCTGCATTGATTGGATTTACTGCTACAAATAGGCATTGAAGTATAGAACCAAGGGGGGAATACTTTGCTTATTTACAACGCTATTACAGACGTGAAAGCAAAATTAAACTGGATCCGGTGAGAGGACTTGGGATGCTAGAAAAGACTACAAAGAAAAGATTCTAAGCTTCTGTAGCTCCATTTCCTTGTGACCAGTTCATCTATTAAATCACCGTAGCTGCAACCACCAAGCGGGCAAGCTCCATTCAGCTACTATTAGTCCTATTGATATGATTCATCAAAGTTCTGCTGATATAGTTTGGCATTTCTTGGAGAGGCTAACTTGTGTTTGACAATTGTAAATGCTACAAAGTGCAGTTTTAGTAGATGGGAAATTGTGGATTTATCTTGGAAAAGATCCAGAGTTGTATTCCTACCATCTTACATTACCTGGAGCTGCTAGTAGATATTGACTTGCTAATGGTTTAAGCTTTTAATGATTCCAAGGCCCAAGTTACTATACCTCCAGTTCATTGTTTGAAAACACCTGTGATGTAGTATGGGGAAATGAGTTCAAGGATCTACCTTTTTTATTTTCTTACTACTGATTGGATAGCTGCTTGTGGCGAAGGTGTTCTCGTGGTGGCATTGGCATAGGACTGTGTTTTTTTTTTTATTGATGTAATTTTCTGCGAAAGTTCATTTTTTGGTTGGATTTCTTGTCCACCCATGATGTAAACTTTCGTATGTAAACTTTCTTATTTAATGAAAGTTTTTGTTTACTATCAAAAAAAAATAAAAACACCCATTACATAGCAAGTCTTCTAAGGGGCGAGCTTGTAAATCAAGATCACAGTAACCTTCATCGATTGTCTTTGTACCCAAACAAACAGCTTGTTTGCTGGTGTGCTCATCCTTTTCTTTCAGACTACAATACCTGTTTATCATATGAGTAAGGTAGAAGAGACAGCATTTTTTCTGGATGTGCTAGTTGAGGGAAATTCTTAAGAGCAGGATCAACCAAAAGCAAAACCAAAGAAGCTAATGTGATTTGTTTCCATTTTTCATATGAGATAAAAAAAAAATGTAATCTAAATCATCCATCGATCAAACTATAGATGTGATCTTTCCCTAAAATTTTGTCAGTCTTTACGACTCATTATTTGGATTCCTATGAATGAAAATTTCTGGTTCATATTTCTCTTTAATCTTTATACTTGGGTCTGCATATTCCCTGCATTGATTGGTCCTGATACTGTTTTACCTGCTGGGTTTATAATTTCTTTTGTCGATATGTTGAAGATCAGAACCACATCTTTAGTGACTGGCATATATTGTGCAGCTTATGAGGCCACACTTGGAGGAAATTAAGCAGGACATGCAAAATAGGGTATGTGCATCTGTATCTTCTTCTGTATTATGGTAATTCCAAATGAGATTACTGAATGTTCTTTGACTTTGTTCTAGTAGATGATGTGCTTGGGTCTTTGGACCCTGTTCAGTACTTCCTACCTAGGACTCTTAATGACTTCGATCGTATGGGTATCTGGTAATTTCCGAATGAGATTAGTGATCGTTCCTGTTCAGTACCTCCTACCTAGGACTCTTAATGACTTTGATGGTATGGCTATCTGGTACATCGGTATGATAGCATACCTTACTAAAATTATCAAACACCCAATGACTTCATCTTTGTGCTTGCCTGCTTGGTATGTGTTATGGTTGACTTTTGGACCCTGCTTTTCTCGTGTCTAGAATGAGAAATGCATGCAACTGATCTATAGATACAAGCCTTTGATAGCTTAGTGTTTAATACTAGGAACTACTTTATGAGGTTTTAGCCTCTTAGGCACAGTGCTTAAATTTTGTGGCCTTCAACCCTCCTAAACACCACAATTCCAAAAACTGTGGACTTACATAGGGGGTCCAAGTTGATGCAAGTCTCCTCTTGCTGTCTGTCAATAGACCTTTATGTTCATTGGAAGCAGGGAAATATAGTTATTTATTTAGTTTCTGAAGAAGACTTATCCCTAGAGCATTTGGATTCTTATGATATTCATTTACTCTTTCCCAGGGCATGAGTCCTACGGCTGTGACTGAAGGTCAGCAACAAATGGCGCAGCTATTCCGAGAGTATGCAACCTTTCCATGTCCCTGATGTAGAGAACACATAATAGATGATTTTTAATATAGCACTACTCTTGTTGAGCCTCATAACAAATTTATGATCTTGATAATCCACTGCATATGTTACTAGCTTTTAAATATCTTATTTTGTCTACGCTTGGTTCACGGAAGTCCTTGAAATTGGTAATGTGTGGTATGATTGCTATTATTTAGATCTTCTCATTAATTGTTCGTCATGTAAATTCTTTTGTGTTGGATTGCGCTGCCAGTCTGTCATCTGCGTTTGCTGTAGATGTAAGGTCAAAGGTAAATATGGTGCGTGTGTGTAAACCCATGGTTTAGAAAATTGATTGGGAACTCTGCTCCAGTGAAATTGTAATTAGTTTGTTATGCTATAGATATTTTAGTAAAAGTAGGAACATTATGGCAAAACTCTAGCCAACTGTTCTGAGTCAGCATGCTAGTTATGTCATGTTTGTCATATGACTATTATTGCTGATCTTTGATGACATATGCTTGGCTTTAAAAGTCTGGGCGTGGGTTCAAAACCACTTCTCTCACTTTGTTAGTATAGGTCAACACTGCAATCTAAGAATAATGACAGAACTTGTATTAAGGATCACAAGGTTACCTGATTGTGATTAGAAAAAGAGCCTGAAATCTACTTATTGACGCGGGTAGTCTTTCTGTAGATTTGCATTATAAATGTCTATCGTCTTCGATGAGATTTCAAGAGTGTAGGTTACTTGCAAAGTGATTCAACACATATTTCTGTACCAATTTGTCATAGATGATGATCATCTTCTCGATGCTTCCAAATTGTAGCTTCATGCAAAGCCTTGATGCGCTATATTTATTTGGTTTTTGTATCTAGTGCTAATCGTAGGTTGACTATGCAGCGACATAGGTGATTCCCAGTACAACTTTCACTCCCACATCCTTTTCTTTTCCTCAAGTTGTGCAGATTTTTTTTACTTATACTCTGGTACTGCAGATATGGTGTTACACCATGGACTCCATTGAAAGGACTTTTATTCCAAGGTCCTGTTTTCATCAGTTTTTTCCTTGCTGTAAGATTTTTATCTTTGGAGTATACATAGCATTCTAAGAAGTTGGTTAAATGTTCCATCTACAAGATTTTTGCCGATTTGGGGTTGGAGTTTTATATCGGTGCTCCCTTTATGTAGATTTCGAACATGGTGGAAAAGGTTCCATCTTTTAAAGAGGGTGGTGCATTCTGGTTTACTGATCTGACTACTCCAGATAGTTTGTACATCTTTCCAGTTTTGACAGCATTGACATTCTGGATAACGGTGGAGGTAATTTTTTTTTTTTTTTTAACTTTCTATGACCATGCATTTTGTCATCTCATTGATTCTCTCTCTCAATTACATAACAGCCTTATGTTTTAATAATGCTATTCAAGTGTAGTAGAGTAACAGAGGGTGGAGCCATATATATTGATGGGTCCATTTCTTTTTTTTTTTTTACTTTCTATGACCATGCATTTTGCCATCTCATTGATTCTCTCTCAATGACATAACAGCATTATGTTTTAATAATGATATTCAAGTGTAATAGAGTAACAGAGGGGGGAGCCGTATATATTGACGGGTCCATCACTATAATCTAGGAGGTGGACAAGTGTAATAGAGTAACAGATGGACATGCTCTCTTTTGGACATGCCAGAACAAGTTCCACCACCTGCTGAGCTAGATGGACTGAGAATCTTTGAAATTGATGAAAATTAGGGTTACGATTTGGGATATTCTTGAAAATGGAAATTTTAGTAATCATTGATTGTTGGATCATGAATATTTCTGATTAATGTGTATCGGAATATGTGGTATTGAATTTTTTATTTGATGACATCATGATTTGAATTGTTAGAATTAAAGAAAGGATGAATTGAATGATTATTATCACATTATATTAATTTTGTCACATGATCACACACACACATGTATATATAGATAAATACACAATATTTAACGTGTCCCATAATGTGTCCGTGTCTTAATTTTTTAAAAATTTCGTGTCCGTGTCGTGTCTGTTTCCCATATTTGTATCCATGTCCGTGCTCCTTGTCTCCACTAATGCTTTCTTTGTTGAGAAGAATTTGAAGCAACCTGAATTAATGAAAATTTGTGGTATTTTGGTTTTGGATTTAGATCCTGATCACTCACCTATTATTGGTTCAGAAGTTATATCGGTTTCACTCAATTTTCCTTCATGCAATTTTTTTTTTAGTTTTTTTTTGATAACCAACATTTTGTCCTTGTATCAGTGCAACATGCAAGAAGGTATGGAAGGTAATCCTGCTGCTAGCACAATGAAAAAGGTTTCAAGGGTCTTTGCTGCTCTCTCAGTTCCACTTACCATGGGTTTCCCAAAGGTAAATGCAGCAAAATTTACTTGCTCAAAGCATATTATGTCTTCTATACTTCATTTTGGTCCACATCAGTTGATAAAACTGATACTAAAAGATGGGATATAAATTTTTGAATCCCCTAAATGCCGTATATGTGTCACTTATCTGCAGTTGGGCATGCTGTAAGTGTATAGATTTGTAGTAATAAACAGTGTGGCCCTTTATTAGTGTATGCTTCTATCAGAGTCATATGAAAGCCAAATATCCTATTGGATGCATGTAATACAACAGGTTACACACTGACAACCTTAACATGAATCGCTCATGCGAATGCAATGTCCAATTATGAATTTAAGGTTGGTTAAAGTTAGCCAGCTCTAGTAGGTTAAACTACTACCCAAAACTTGAAAGAGGCGACAGATGTTAAGGATCACCATGTAGCAGTGGATGGAACAACATAATCAGAGAATGAAATTCAGCATGAAAAACATATCACTTATTCAAATGCGACATCCGAGTACTAAGTTAAGATTTATTAAAGTTAGAAAGCCTCATTGATTAAACTAGTGGTTGAAACTTTTAAAATGTGACAAATACAAAAGATTATCATGATGCAAGGGATAGGTTCATAATCATCATATGATTTCAGACCATTCTACTGTGTCTGTGCCCGATGGTGATGTTTTAGAAGTGCTTGCAGTGGGTTCCCAGTTGTAGTACAGTGGAGATGGTATGCAAATTTGCAATAATCATTCATTCTATTTTGATTGTTTGTTTGGTTAAAGGATTCATTTTGTAATTATCAGTGGATTCATGTGAATGTCTCTTTTGAATTTGATACGAGGCCATCAATATCAATTCTATTACATCTCTATGCAGGCTATATTTTGTTACTGGGTTACGTCCAACTTGTTCTCTCTCATGTATGGACTTGGTAAGTCCTCTCAGCTCCTCATGGATTGATATATGGTTTATCTTTTGCAGTATTAATGAAATTGAACTGTTTTGCAATCGTTATATGACTAAACTAATTCTTTGTTGATTTTTTTTTTTTTTTTTTTGGGGTGTGGGCATTTGTAATTTCGTTTTTATTCTCTACCAATTATTTATGTGTTTCTTTTGCAGTGATTAAGAAGCCTGGGGTGAAGAAGTTCTTGGGTGTTCCTATAATTCCCGTGGCACCGGCCCTACCGGCTACTACTGAGCCACAGTCTGCCCTCTCTTTCTTTGAAACACTCCAGAAGTTTGTAGCTGCATCAGTGGCAGCACAGAAGGCCCCTTCGTCAAAACATGCCAATCAACGTATATCCTCATCATCGGTTCTCAGTCAGAGGCTTAAAAGCTTAGAAAAGGAAGTCAAGGCAAGAAAGAAAGGCAAGAAGAGGTGAAGAAATATTGATCATAAATATCTTATCCCGTCTTCATTGGAAGCAAGCAAGCACGCACATCTATCAGTTTTGCCTGTTAACATAATGGTTTTTTTTTTTTTTGTTGGTGGGGTGGGCGAGCAATGGTGTTTAGTTTTCGATCGAGAGAGGGAGAGGGAAGAAATAAATAGCAATATTTGAGTGGTAAGGATTTTGTTTTTATCTTTTTGACTGTAATAATATCCGAGGCGGCCCAATGCAAATTGAGGTCTAAAGCGAAAATTTTATATGAGACCTCATTTAATATTTTAAGATAATAAATTTTTTAAACTATTATTCGACGTTTTATAGAGAGTTGCAGTATGATTTATTATTAATATTTTAGTGCTATTGGGATTGGGCAGGATTAGATAAAAAATTAGGTGCAATTATGAAGTTAGGTTCTTATAGATTTATAGATGAATAAATTGAATGAAATTTTAAAGAGATAACAAGAGAGTTAGAGATAAGGAGAAAGAATCAAAGCAAGATAATGAGAGTTTGAGACAATGAGAGTTTAAGGGAGAGAAAAAGTTGGAAATAGGTGATGAGAGTAGAGAAAAAAATAGTGAAAAAGAATTTGAGAGAGATTGTTATTTTTAAAGTTAGAAATCGTTATTTTTATATTTTTTTAAAAGGTTTTGTTATATTTTAAGATTATATATATATAAGACATTATATAGACATGTGAAAATATTGTTACATTTTAAAAAATTTTATAAAATTTTAGAGAGATTTTTGAAATATATTGGGCCTTATATGGACAAGATTCATCATCTTTAGAGGATTTTTAGGAAGTTCATTATCTATTATTTTATTTTCATGTAATTATCATTCATTAGATTTTTTTTAATTCCTTAATTATTATAATTATATTGCATTGAGAGGTAAAATACATATGTCCCCCTAATTATGTGTAATGTAATTTTTAATCAATAAAATTCCCTCGTACCTCGAGGGTCACTCAAAAAAAAAAAAAATTTAGTCTATCCAAAATGGTTTCAAAATATGAAGTTGACCTAAAAATTGAAAATTAAATTAGGGCTCTAGGATACTCTATTAATGGTTGGGTCTGCTATGTCTGCTCTCATTCAAATGATTGAAATATTTGTACATCTCGTAACAATTGTAGTCTCCGTATGCGTCTTATTATCGAATCTTCGTCTATGAAACCAATTAAGTGAAACAAATTAATTAATAGATGACGCGTAAGGAATAAATGTAATATGCGTTACTCCATATTTTATGCATTTTTTAAATTGGTCAAAAATAATGCGTGGACCGTTACAATGGATATTGTCATAGTAAAGAAATTCAATGTTATAATATGGTGTCGCATAATTTTTATTTTTGATAATTTTGGCATTTAATATATAATAAAATTAGATATGTGTTATTTTATAATCATACTATAAGAGTGCAATTGCTCAATGGTAAAATCCATAGGAATTGAAAATATACATAGATCATCATCGAGTTTGAGATAAATAAAAAATGTGTTTAATTTATTTTAATTTGTAGAAGAAAGAAATACTTATTATACTTTTTTATTAAAGTGTTAACCTTTTTTTGTCCTTTGATAAATATGTATGTGTAATGTATATTTGTGAGGTAAACTGCACTTTTAAACCTAAATTAATCTTTTAGAATTTTTTTTGTTAAACTAAATTATAATGAATTTTAATTTTTGATATATACTTATATATTATTGAACTTTAAAATTTAGGCCTTTTTTAAGTGTGGCCCATGCTTTTGCCACTCCATTGTTGAGCTGGCCATGGTAATATCAAGAAAATTCACATTAGTATACCAGGTGGAACAGCAGATATTGTAATGGAATTTATTTATTTTATTTTCTAAATTTTCATTGACACTGACATGATGTGGCTAGAGGCGTGAATATACTGTCCACGAAAATTGAGATATTCCTTTGCATTCTAGTCCCTGTCCTGTTCTAGACTACACCATCATGAATAACGATTTTGCCTTACAATTGGTCTGAGTCCGATGTTAATGTACTGAGACTGTATTGTACTTTCCGCTAGTAACAAATCTGTGTGTAACAGCCAATTAAAAGTTGTAACCTTTTAAGAACTGGTGCCCTAATAATCCTATCCCGAAATTAATGACATTTATTGGAACAGCTTGCAGGTTCCTATAGTTATTACTATAATGCAAATTGAGTTTAATGTATGTACTCAAATTGCGCGACAGGAATGAATAGGATTAAAAAAATTATAAAGTAATTATAGAAATAGCTATAATGATGCTCTAAATTTAAATATTTGAACATATTTTGTTGGAGTATGATTTTTATCTTTGATTAACTAAATTTAAACTATTTTAAAGTTTTGTGATGAGGAAGCGACGAAGATTACTTAATCGTGCAAACCAATTCTAACTGATAAATTTGTTTAGTAAATTAAAGGCCAAGTCATGGCAACTTCATGGCCACCCAAAAGCCACAAATACGCTGGCGCTTAGTGTCCCGATGCTTGATAGTTAATATTCATTAAGTCACCTCTTCCCCCAAAAAAAAAAAAAAAAAAAAAACTAAAATGAGAGACAAAAGAGAAAATATAATAATACATTTATACGATTGCATTGAAGTTACTTCAAATTGAGTAAACATCAACACCTTTTAAATTTTTATCTCAATTTTTTTTTTATCTTTGATGTCATCTCAAAAACTAAAATTCATAGTGATACCGTTACATTTTGATAATTTTTGTATGGTGATGAAAGTTTCGTATACTATAATTCCAACACTCTAGTTCATAAAACTCATGGAGGTTGAGTTAGGAGCAGATTTGGACATTTGGAGAACAATTTAGATGGATAAAAACAGTCAGAATTCATATAACAATATTTAACACTTTAGGGGAGTCACATCAATAATTTCAATAACTATTCACTAATCTTAAGGGGTCTGTGATAAAAAAAAAATTCTTAAGGGGTCAAAAACGTAGTTTAAAAAACATAGGGAAACCGTGGCTTGCCCCTTGATCATATCTGTAGATATTTAATGGAGATGCCGTGTAGATACTTCAAGTCTTCGTCAAAGTCATCCCATCGTTTAATGGCAAATAATTACAAAAGAAAAAAGGGATTGGAGTCTAGGACCAATCCACTGAAGTCATTTTATGGAAATAAAAATTTTATAGCGACTAATTATGATCATCAAATTATGATTTTTGTGGGTTAATTGAGCCTCTAAACTCTCGTCAATTGAGTTTTTTTGTTTGCCTCTGTTAGTTTTTTAAATGAAAAGTGATAGAGTGTATCACTCGCGTGATCGAGTTGTAAGTCATTTGTATCACATGAGTTGCACATTTTGTCACTTTCTGATAAAAAATCTAACGAAGATAGATAGAAGGGTTTAATTGACATAATTAAATAGTTTAGATGTTTAATTGATATTAATTTTTTTTAAAAACTTAATTGATTCAAAGGTCAAAATTTGAGGACCATTTATGTAATTTACTAAAAATAGTTGCTATCTATGCTGTGTCTTTCCTTTTTCTATGAATATTCTAGAATAGGTATATTTTTCAATAGATTGAATGACGTCGTGATTACGCACTAATTAGAAGGACACACGCTACTTGCTCGGTACCAAACGCCAACTCCTCTTATTAACGATTTGGAAAGTCGACCCCTGCATGGAAATCCAACGATCTTAAATAATTCTTCAGTTGTACCGATGGTCCAAGTAAAATCTCATACACGAAAATAATTTTTTTTTAATTATGAGGAAATAAAGTCTTCAAAGTTTGGTTGACCAAAAAACCAAACTGATCGAGAACAGCTCGGTTTCGGGGCTTCTCTCTGAACTTTCTGTCATAAAGCAGCGACAAAACAAGTCATTCTCCACTAGTCTTCTAGTCAAAAACAAGCGCTGGCCTCACACACCTCTCAGCACCTCGATTACGTCGGCCAACAATCTCTCTCTCTCTCTCTCTCTCTCACGCACACACAGAGACCTCACGCTTTACATTGCAGTAATTAGCGAGAGAACGAGAGTATAGAAAGAGAGAAAAAGTTAAGTTATTAATTTATAGAGTATTGAGAGATCGGAGATGTCGGAGAAGCGGTTTATAACAGAGATCGAGCCGGCAAAGGAAGCGAAGGATGGGAAGCCATCGATCGGTCCCGTGTATCGCAGTGTGTTTGCAAAGGACGGTTTTCCACCTCCGATTGAAGGACTGGATAGTTGTTGGGACATCTTTCGGTGAGCGTTTGGCGTTTTTTGATTTTTCTATGAAGTTGTTTTTCCAAGGTTTTCCGCCTAAAATTTTGCGAGTTTGATCTATTATCAATTCTGAATATAATGCTCTAATTATGTTTATTGTGTGTTCGAAACTCTCTCTTGTTGATTTGGTTTTAGTTTCATTGAATTGGATTAGTACTTGCGAGCTCTGAGAGTAATATACGACTAATATGTTCCCTCAGCCTAGTGTTTGGTTTTTAGACTATCTTAGTCTTTATATGAATGCATGTGTCGATATCAGGTTAGATAGAGTTCGATGATTGATACTGCTTAAATTTTCTTGAAGCACAGATTTAATTTGCGAATTATGATTCATAATGAGCACTTTGTTTGTAAAACTCCAAGTAAACGTTGAGTTGGATGAATTACGTGTGTGCGCTGATATGATGACTGCAGTCCTCAAACTGCTTAGAATCTCTGTCTTTTGTTCTTTTGGCAGGAAAATAATATATGTGATAAGAACAAGGATTGCAAAGCAGCAATGCCACTCCCTTCCCTCCAAATCATCTTCAAGTAGCCACTCTTAACATCCCCTCTAATGGCTCCACTATAAACATGATTAATTTTTACCTTTTGGAACTTATCAACAGCTACTGCACATGCTCAATCAACATCCAAAGCCACCAAGGACTGACCCCCCTTCCTCTCAGGCTATCGATGACCTTCGATATGAATCCTCCTGATGTCCATTTTCCAAACTTGCACAAGTTTTTCTGTAAGGCCCTAAACTTTCCGAACTGCCTTGGTGCACCAAATAATGGAGCACCTCGAGAGTCCCTTGTAATACATCCTGATTTAACTTTCCATCCATCCTTCTTTTCTTACAGATGTGTTCAACACTATAACATAATTCTCCTTGACCTTCTTCCTCTTAGAGCGGATACTGGTTGAAATTGAACGAAATTATTGCTTTGTCTATGCACATTAAATTGCAGTATTGGTCTAACTGCATAGATTTGGAACACACACACGTATGTAAATTGTTGTCTAGGGTTGAAAGAGTCTGGCATTTTTTTACCTGCCTGTTTTTGCGGGCTTATTAGACACAATTAATGTGATATAAAAGATTTTATGTACATTATTATTGGTTATATTCTAAAGTCCATGCAATTGGAGCATGCATTGTGTTCTGAACTTGAGACGATTCCACCAGTTAAATGCATAACTAATCCCATTGGATTATTCATGAAATGTGATTCTTTTGTTGATAGTCCTGAGAAAAATGATTGTTCATGTTTCAGTATATCAGTAGAGCGATATCCTAATAACCCAATGCTTGGTCAGCGTGAAGTTGTGAATGGGAAGGTATAACACATTATATTATACTCATGCGTCTTTGTGAGTAATTTCTACCTTGGCGACTCATTTTGTTGACTTTAAGCTGATACTTAAATTTGTTTCTCTTACTTTGCAGCCTGGCAAGTATGTGTGGATAACTTACAAAGAAGTATACGACATAGTGATGAAAGTTGGAAATTCCATCCGCAGTTGTGGTGTTGAGGAAGTAAGTTACATCTGATAACCTATTAATTAGAAGTTTAGAGCAGGGTGTAGAAGTATTAAGTTTACATAGGAAAAGCTTGCAAAGATAGCTTGTATCTCACACTGAGTGAATAGGACCACTTGATGTTGGTTTATGTACTCCAACAGTCACTCCTCTCATAACCAATTTTGTTTTGGATTGGATGTTATAATATGGTATCAAAGTTAAGCTTTGGGCCTAGGGTCAGTGAGCCAAGTCTACTAACCATTTGAATTTCCTAGTATGTCTATTTGTTTGATAGCCCCATGTGCATGCCGGGTCCTACGCGAGAGAAGGAGTAAAGAAGTCTTGTATGCAACATCGAATGGTTAGGATCACCCAAGGTTGGTTTATGTACTTGAGGGCCACCGTACTCATTGCCAATTGATTTAGGTTAGACGTTTTAACAAAGCTAACCTCCCCATCAATTTTGTGGTTAGCCTTGGAATTCTTTTGTTTTTTTTTTTTTGCTCGAAATTTCCCCACTGCATGTCTAGTGGCAATGTTCTTTTTAGTCCTTTTGCATGCATTGTTCATCTCCAACAGTGCAACAATCTGTCTTTCTCAATTGTCTGCCTCTCTCTCTCTGGACTACTATTCTTTTGTAGAAACTTGTTGCACTCATCCTTTCATTTCCACTGTTTGAATCATCATCATATTGACATCTTTCTGCTCAAGGGTTCTGATTTGTCTATTGTTCTTTACCTTTTCATCATAAAATTTTTTATCTATTTACCTTACTCAGGTTACCGAACTGGTTTCCTAGTTCCAAAGTTTCACTCCTACATTATGGTTTCTGGATTCAGACCAACTACTTTACCCTCAGTTGGCTGGTGATTTATAAAGGAGCAACCGGAAAAAGTCTCTTAGGGAGAAAACATTTGGAAATTATGAACAAAAGAAACAAATCACCTAGTGCTCATCTTTTGGTGAAAAAGAAGTTCCTGCCGAAAAATTTGATGGGGCTGGACCAGCGATTATTTTCATTGATTATGTAGTCATCAAAGTAATAGGTGTGTGCTTCCAGTATTTACAAAGAGTTAAAAGGACCATAAAAACCTCTTCTGCTGATTAAGTTTAGGACATTTTTGCCTTAAAAATAGTCGGCCAAAGCTTACCATCTGCAACTGGTGAGCAGTTAGCTTTTCCTTTTTTACCGATAAGAGTTAGCTTTTCCTTTTATCTTTTGGGTTCGTTCTGTAGGCCTGTGGAAACATGCTTGGAGAGTTTTTGTGGTATTAATTAGTTGTCTTTTGTTCATTTTTAACGATTAAACTTGATACTGTTCTACCTTCTTGTTGTGTTACAAGTTGTTTTGTGGTGAGCAGTAGTATTGTAAACAAAGTAATATCTGAGTTTCTTCTTGCTTCTTCTCTATTAGAGACTTTAATAGTTTGACTTTTTTCTTTTGTGTGTTAATGTTCAATCCTTTTGATAATTTGTTATTTTTCGAATTGCATGTGACGATAAGTAGCAGATTTTTTTACAGAACTACTTTGCACATGCAAATCATTTGTTTCTTACTCTGATAAGTGGACTACTAATTGCAGGGTGTACGGTGTGGAATTTATGGTGCCAATTGCGCAGAGTGGATTATGAGCATGGAGGTTTTTTTTATCTCTTTTGCTTGCTTCTCCTCATTTTTTTGTTGAAAGCAAAACCTAATAACAACCAAAATCAACCCTATAAACAAAGCATGCAGGGAGACTTTACTATCCTATCTTGTGTTGTGTACTGTATAATTTCTTCATGACACTCTTTTCTCCTTTTCATATTTTATTCATTGTTGCTTGGGCATGCCAAATAATTAGCTTTATTGCCCTTCTCTCTCTACACAACTTTCATTTTCAATGATATATTTAGTGGTCACTCAAGGGACTCTTTTGTCATCATGCTCCAAAGAACTTTGATTTACCAACTTCTGCAAAAGGAAAAACAAATCTTTTTTACACAATTCATAGCACATTTTATATAGTTAGAAATTCCTTCTTTTGGGATGTTGCATTACTCGTGTGTCTCTCCATAGTCCATAGTACATTGACGGTAATGTGGGAGTGGGACTATGCTTTCTTTTTGGGGTTTGGTTATTGTGGGTAGGCTGGGCCTTTTGTTTGGCCGGAAGTTAGGACTCTGAGCTCACTGGTGGTTCCAAAGAATCAGTTGCAATACCATTATGATCACTACTAAGTGATCAAGATTGAAGCAAAATATGACTTGAACTTCAGGCAGTTTAGTAGCCTTTGGGAAATAATCCAGGTATCTTCTGAGTTTATATTATCATCGGTGTGATGTTGTACACTACCTTATCTATTCTCTTTGTTAGTAATCTATGAACTACCTTAACTATTCTCTTGGTTAGTAATCTATAATCATGTAGTTAGTGCATTTATGATCCCAAAGAGTCATCATTCGCTCAAAAAGGTTGCAGGTTTTCCAAAGCAATTTGTACTTTGGATCTAGTCATTAAGCAGAAAATACTAGTGGAATTCTTCTTCTATGATACATTGCAGAGACACTTAGTTTTTTGATAAGTATACAATGGATCTAAACAATTAGCAGTTGCCTCAAGTCATCTGTATCGATTAACAAGGTTGTTACTGACTGCGTGATCTTCAAGAGAGGGCTTTTGTGGCTTGTTTTCGTTCTATTATTAGGTTAATGACCATCTGTTCATGTACCCCTTAGTAACTTAAAGTTTTGCATTATTTCTAGTCTATGGCGGTATCATTAGCTTTGTCTGAGACTGATATCGATTAACGGATTGTTTTACTACCTCTGTACACCTTTTCCTCTACTTCCTTTTTCTGTTAGTTCTGTTGGTGAGTTGTTCTATGGATATAATTTTGGCATCATTGTGGCTTTGAAGGAAGGAGATACGAATAACGTAACGAACTTCTGGTTTCAGTTTTAACACAAAGGCACCAATTCTGAAGTTCCATTTCCTTTTCTGGTGTTCCTTTTATCTGGAGGGTGTATCTTGCTTTTTAGATATCAGCATCATTTGTTCTTTCGCAATAGTATGCTATATGCAATTCTGTTCTAATATGGGCAAACTGATGCAGGCATGCAATGCTCATGGGCTCTTTTGTGTTCCTTTATATGACACTTTAGGTATGTGCAATCTCTTTTTGCATGGATTTATGTTAACCAAATGTTGCTCTCATTAGCTTTAAGTTTATGTATATTTGCTTAGAATGCATTCGTGTGGAACTCTAAACCTGAATGACTGATAGGGTCTTCCCATGCTATGTTAAACTGCTTTCATTGGCAATGGATGCAAATTGATCCCAAGTCTCGCGAATTATTTGGTTAAATATACATTTATTCGAATTTTGACCACGTCTTTTATGTTGTTTAGGAGCTGGGGCCGTGGAATTTATCATATCCCATGCAGAGGTCACAATTGCTTTTGTAGAAGAAAAAAAGATACCTGAGGTAAATTGCCTAGAATTTGCATCTGGCTTCCTGTCTAATGTTGTTGTGAAACATCTCTTGAAGACGTTAATTTGCATTCAAAAGTCTATTCAAGTTGTTACCAGTGTTAGGTCGGCAATGTTTTTTGTATATTTTAATTGATGTATGCATGTTTGTAATTATATATATCTGATATCACAATGTGCATTGTGGAATTATTATACTCTGGATTTACATGATTGCTGTGAATCCATTGAGAAATTATTGAAACAAAATTTTTATTCCTCGAATGTTGTCCTCATCTATTTCTTTTTTTGCCCTTTCCAGTTACTGAAAACATTTCCTAATACGACAAAATATTTAAGAAGTAAGTTGTACGCAGATTCAAATTTCTTTTTGCTTATGCGCGTGGAACTAGGAAATAATGACAGACATTCTTTTTTGTAGCAATCGTGAGCTTTGGAAAAGTTACTCCTGAACAAAGTGAAGAAGTTGAAAAGTTTGGTTTGGTAATATATTCGTGGGATGACTTTTTGCTATTGGTAAGCTTTTATTTATCAAATTTGCCACTCCATAATTCTTCTCATGTTTAGTTGTTTTGTTGATCATAGTGAATGTTTATGAGAATTATTTATTCCATTTTAATCGATAAATGTTATCTTCCCAAAGAAATAATGATAATTTTACTTGGAAGTTTGTTCACCTTTATTTATTTATTGATGTTGGGTTGTCGTTTGCGTATTCCCATCCTTGTATAGCAACTACATAATAATAATGTTTAAATCATCTTCATATGTTTGAAAGCTAATATGGCTAATAGAGAACAGCTTGGCGAGGTAATGCCAGACAAATAGTGGCGACTTACCTCGAATTTTCATGTGGTAGTTTTTGTAATGATGCTTCAGGATCCAAATATGCACTTTCCCGCATCATAACTAACTTTTCTGTGTATCACTGCTGTGTCATCTCGTTCTTCCAGCTCTTTACATATTTGACCAAGTTGTGTCATTTCGGTTGAACAAGTTTAAACCATCTTTTACTTCTATTTAATGAAGTTAGATGTGCTTGAATATGAGGCATTATGTGTTTCAATAGATGGGTGTTTAAGTTTGTTCGCACTCTAGTTGCTTGTTAAGTTTTATGTGAATCTCTGCACAGATAATGTAATATTATGCTACACAGTAAATATCAGTTTTTTTGGGGCAATTTGTTTGTATGTAAGTGTCGAGCTCGTTCATAAAGATTTGTGACCTGGCTTCATATACTTCGGAACAGCCTTCTTGGGCCTTAATATGGTGTTGCTCTCTGTATGGTGCAAGTTATTTTTGCAAGTCAAAAAGGTCAGAAATATGTGAAAGGTAAATTTGATTCTCGAGAAATACTTGTTGCAAGAACTAAGGTAACAGCTGTCAACAATATTCGACTTGAGTGTGTTCATCCTGGTGTGTGTGTTTTTTATTCATACCATTGGGACATGTTGTCTTGTTTAAGTTTATGGTATTGACTGTCAACTTGAAGGGAATTGCATTGATCGAGATGTTGCAGATCTGTATTGGGCATAACACACGAAATGCTAGATACTTGGCCGAGTCGAGCAAGATTTTCTGTGTGTCAAGCGAGATTTGTGGTCTACGGACTTTTCCAAGTCACCCACTGGTTGAGCAAGACTTGTGGTTTTACACAGACCGTTAATGGTATTGGAACAGAAAGTCCCAAGAGGAATTCGATTGGCCAAGTCGTATCATACTTATACCGATTCTTTGAACCATGGCTGTTGTAGCTTATTAAGGGAATTATATGAACCAGCCAACAAGGGTATTGCTTTGGTTTTAGTTCATGCTAAAATATTTAATGGCAAGAAGTAAAAATCATTAACTCGTTATTTGCCTGTTTGCCAGGTGGTGATCGTCTTGTGTGTCCCATTGCTTACAATTTGCAAACAAGAATTGTGTATTGAGCAGTTCATTGGTTTTGTTGTATCATTTGCAAACATACCATGAACTTATCCCAAAATGTACCCAATTAATCTTGTGCATAGGTAGTAAATTATACAATTGCTAGCATCTATGGAGTACAATCTGAAAATTGAAGGATGCTTGAACACTCAATACTATTATAGCATTATCATGATGTGAACTTCTTGGTGGTAAGATCAAGTTTTGGTGGTTATGCATGACGTATTCAAGATTCATTTTTGCGGGTGATGTTAAATAGCCTATGTCATGTTGTCATGCATCAGCTGATTCGTCTTGCTTTGATTTCTTGGTATTTTGTCATGAATAATTCTTGATGCAATAGTTTTGAGATGTGGATGAAGTTGTACCAACTGAGCCTCCATGCAATGAAGGCAGGGGTTCAACCCCCCCCCCAAAACCTAGCTTGGGGTGGGGTGGGGGGGGGGGGGGGGTTGAAGGACAAAAAAGAACAAAAGGGAGGTGTTATGTTATGTTAGTCGCTAATCATGCTAATGATGTTCTTCTTGATGATTTATATCACAGTTTTCATTTAAAATTCGCTCATCTGTTTCCATTCAGGGAGAGAATAAACACTTTGATCTTCCAGTGAAAAAGAAGAGCGACATTTGTACAATAATGTATACTAGTGGAACAACTGGAGAACCCAAGGGTGTTATGGTTTCCAATAATAGCATCGTTACTCTTATAGCTGGAGTGAAACGTCTATTAGAGAGTGTGGGTGAAGCGGTAATGACCGACTCATTTGAATTTACTTTCAATCCCATTTGATGGGAAACATGGCCTATTATGAGGTGCTATTTTTCTATAGATGCAATACATGCCAGGCCGGCTAATTGATTGATGATGCCATTTATATCTTTTGCAAAAATATCTTATCTTGTTGGATATTTTACAGTTGACTGTGAAGGATGTATATCTTTCGTATCTTCCTCTTGCGCACATCTTTGATCGCGTGATTGAGGAATGTTTTATCAACCATGGGGCCTCCATAGGGTTTTGGCGTGGGGTAAGATGACCATGATTCACCCCTCCCCCCCCCCCCCCCCCCCCCCCACACACACACACACACACAAAAAAAAAAGAAGAAGAAATAAAAATCTGTAGTAATGGTCAATTTTACATTTGCAGGATGTCAAACTATTGGTTGAAGACATTGCAGAGCTGAAACCTACTGTTTTCTGTGCTGTTCCCCGGGTGTTGGATAGAATTTATTCAGGTACTTACTTGTTTTACCCATGGTCAGTTGCCTTTGAGTTTTATTTTAATGTTTTCAGCTTTTGATACTTATATCAAAAGTAGTAGAAGGAAATTTACTAAGCCGCATTATATGGGGACTTTGGTGGACTGCATCTTACAAGGTGGGGAAAAATTGACATGCATTGGTTTTGGTTCACCATGGTGTGGTAAAGCTGCATACACTTGACTTCTTAGAACTCTCAATGGCAAGAGGGGTCCTATGAGAAATCCATACGAATTAGCCTTGTTCTAAAACTATATGTATGATTCCCAAAATATCTTTCTTATCCAGATAACAAATGAAGGATCAATATTTAAAATCATAAGATTTTGTCGATTTGTGGTTATGGAGTCCATCATTTGGTGTTGGAATCTAGTTTAGAAAACAGCAAAGTATTTTATACTTGTTTGGTAAGGGTAGAATCAATGGCTTTTTCCCTGCTCTCCACTTCTGACATTATTGTATGAGAGGATACAAATTGAAAGAAATATCTGGTATGGTTATCGCATAACAACTGGTATCAAAGCTGCTGGTGTGACATAATAGATACAATTCGTAAATTTATGAAAACCTTATGTATTACTTAAGTGTTACACAAATTACTGTCGCTAATGGCCATGCACATTTTCAGGTTTGCAACAAAAGATTTCTTCAGGGGGTTTCTTGAAGAATGCATTGTTTAATGCTGCATACTCCTTGTAAGTTTTGTTCATGTCCTTATATGATGAAAAGAAAAAGAATGGGAATCTTTTATGAATATATACATCAATTTCTTTAGACATTAAGATTCTTCTTTCCAAGTGATATGGTCAATGAATATGATCTATGTTTAAGCCAATATGTTGGGGGTGGATTATTATCTGACATCTATTTACATTTAAAAAATCTGCAGCAAATTTCATTACATGAGGAAGGGGCATAAACATGATGAGGCATCTCCAATTTGTGATAAAGTTGTTTTCAGTAAGGTGGTGGACGCTTCCATGTTTTTGCTTACCTCTTGTACATTTAATGGATATGTGTAAACGCTCACTTGTCTCTTCACTGCCTCAGGTTAAGCAAGGGCTGGGGGGAAATGTAAGACTTATTTTATCTGGAGCTGCACCTCTTGCTTCCCATGTAGAAGCTTATCTAAGAGTGGTGGCTTGTTGTCATGTTCTTCAAGGATATGGTAGGGTGTCCCTTCAAAATATTTTTTGGTCAACGATCTCTTGAAATGGTTTTCTTTGGCTTTTTGTTGACATGAATATTTTAGTTCGACTAGTTCCTCTCGCCCCCACAGTTACGTTTCTTTTGTCCTTATCGCTGATGCTAGACGTTTACTTATGTTCTTCTTTGAAGGCATCAGCTTCCAGCTGATGCATTCGTCATCATCACCTCTGTGCCATTCTCACCCAACACTCTTTTTTAACCAAAATAAATGGAAGTGAACGGTCCCATATAATGAGGAATCCCCTTAAATGATTGACTCCACCGGTAAAGAATCTGAAATAGGAAGCTAACTCTTAGATAGCATCTAATCGAGTACTTTGATGCGTTGGATAGTCTGCGTCTCTTTTTGCTGATGTTCCTATTAGGTTCTGCTTGCATCTCATGCATTAATTCTTGATCACCTTTCTCAGTTTGTTTTTTTCATCTAAATGTATGGAGAATTGTATGTCAATCCAAAGGTAAGGTCATTATGGTACATCTAAGTTAACAGAATATGAGGCGTGAGGACACGTGTCCCATTGCTTGTGTCCTGGAGATATACTATTTGCCCAGCAGGCATTGTAATGTATGTGTCCTGATTGCTAGATGTGGATTTTTTTTTTCCTTTTGCCATTTGTGTAGGTCTGACGGAGTCCTGTGCTGGGACATTTGTTTCTCTACCAAATGAATTGGATATGCTGGGTACAGTGGGCCCTCCGGTACCCAATGTGGATGTGTGCCTAGAATCTGTTCCTGAAATGGGATATGATGCCCGTTCAAGCACACCACGTGGAGAAATATGCATAAAGGGGGAGACCTTGTTCTCAGGGTACTTCAAACGTGAAGACCTCACTAAAGAGGTTTTGGTTGATGGGTGGCTCCACACAGGTTTGTTAATAGTCATGCTCCTTCTTTAAACAATTCAAGGTTCACCAATCCACTAATTGCTTTCTAAACGAACTTTGCTCCTAAAAATTGTTTGTCAGGGGATGTTGGTGAGTGGCAACCAAATGGAAGCATGAAAATTATAGACCGAAAGAAAAACATTTTCAAGCTCTCGCAAGGAGAATATGTTGCTGTTGAAAACTTGGAGAATATTTATGGTCTTTTTCCTGATATTGACATGGTATGTCTCCCAACTTCTTGTGAGTCTAGTAAATTATACATATGATCCTTAAACTATGACATTTGTGTCAATTAAACCCTGATTTTTTTTTTTGTCAATTGAGCCCTTATTTCTGTCTTCGCCTGTTAGAGTGTGCCACTCACGAGACTATATGACACAAAAAGACAAAAGAACTCAATTGACAATTAGAGAGTTCAGGAGCTCAATTAATACAAAAAAAAATTCATAGGCTTAATTAACACAAGGGTCATATGTGTAATTTATTCTAAACATTTGTGTCACATGAGTAGCATACTTCACCACTTTCCGTTCAAAAATTTAATGGAGGCTGATAGAATAGTTCAATTGACATAATTAGAGAATTTAGTGACTCAATTGACACAAAAGAAAGTTCAGAGGTTTCATTGACACAAGAGTCATAGTTTGAGGGTCATGTGTAGTTTATTCCAAATATAAATACATACATATAGTTATAATTGGTTACATCAACTGCGTATAGAGGTGTGTGTATGTGGAGAATCTGGAGATACATACCGGAACACTTCAATGTATACATACACAGATGTTTGGACATGTTGAAATTTGGTCCTGCTTTGTTTCTGAATTGTCTGTTCTAAACTCTATCAAAATCCAATTTTAGAAAAGAAAAAATTGAAACAATTGACATATAATGCCAAAAGTTTAGTTTTTTTCATTAGTGTTTGGCCTATCCATTGAGGACCTCGTGTTTTTATTCTAACATGTTCACGGCTTCGAATTCCAGATATGGATATATGGGAACAGTTTTGAGTCTTTCCTTGTTGCTGTTGTTAACCCAAACAAGCAAGCAATTGAACACTGGGCAGAAGAGAATGGCGTATCAGGGGATTTTGATTCCCTCTGTGAAAATCCTAAGGTGAAAGAGTATGTCCTTGGAGAGCTGACGAGAATCGGAAAAGAGAAAAAGGTTCTTATTCTTTTTTGTACTTGTAATGGATTTTTATTTTGTCATGCAATAACACTTGATATTAGTTGTGCGCTTTTGTGGAGGGTGGGAACTGAGATGGGGTGGAAATACTTGATGATCCTTGAAAGCTTTGTTACGCCGTTCGGTTAACTGATTAATATTCTTGGCAGCTGAAAGGTTTTGAATTTATCAAAGCTGTTCATATTGACCCTGTGCCTTTTGACATGGATCGCGACCTTCTCACCCCGACATATAAGAAGAAAAGGCCCCAGTTGCTTAAATATTACCAGGTGGCCCCTCCTCCTTGTCTTGATTCTCAGAAAATCTTAACTTTTTCCTACCATGGGCATGAATGCCAAGATATTAACCTGCAAAACATTTTATTGGATGATTCTAAATCAGCCCAGTAACGTGGTAAGCATTTATTCTTAACACTAGCAACTTTATGTTGGTGTCTAGACTATCGTCAAATTTGCTCTCTATCATATACACTACAAGGGTCAGTGGTTATACCAAAATTTAGCATCTGTGTTCAGTGTTCTTAATCGAGGAGATGCATCATTTTGTGCCCCATTGGAGATTTGGTCATTGCAACATACTGCCTCTGTTTTACATCATTATTTTGTTGATGTTGATCATCAACATAACAATTGGTCTTTGCAAAGAATTTCAGTATACTTTTAAATGCCTATCAACTCGTGTCGGGGATTGTTCCTGACAGGAAAAGATTCTTCGTAAGGATATATGATTATATGTTTGTTGACTTGGAGTCGTCTGTTTTTTTTTTTTCCTCTTGCAGGGTGTCATCGACAACATGTACAAAAGTGCAAAGTAACCCCCTGCCTGAAGGTAGCATCCTCTGAGTTAATGGTCTGCAATCATGCAATTGCTAGATATGGCTATCTTTTTGCCTTTTGCTTCTGACTGTACATATTGGTATTTGGTATATCAAATATTTACGTTGAAATCAAAACTTGTGTAATACATAACATTTTTCCTTATAAGGACCCGTCGGAAACCAATCTACCTAATTTGAACAGCTCTCCGCTCATGGTCTGACCCCGTACAGGGGATTCAAGGCCGTGTGGCAGCCTGTTGGCATGGCAGGTAAGGTCACGATCCTTACACCTCGGTTGTTGGGTAGAATTGGCCCAGCCAAATAACCAGCTATTGACCCGCAATAATACTAACAACAATTTCTTAGTTTGAATTTGACAGCTATGTTATTTATGACAACTGAGCTTTGAATATTTATAAATGAGATCCTAATCTTTTAAAAAACTAACAAATCTGAAGCATTTATTTCATTTAATGACAGTAATTATATCAATTTTAACTTATAAACCTTGTGTATGATCTTACCAAGTGTTTCAGTGTCGAGCACGTATTTTTTAATACATGAGTTGAGTTATTATAATTAAAAAAGTTATAATTTAAATAAGTTAATGAGTTATTATAGTGAAAAATGTTAAAATTTAAATGAGTTACTATGATTAAAAAGTTAAAATATAAATTGTTAGATCTGAACAATTTAGATCATTGATGTGTTTTATGTAAACAAGAATATGAGTAATATTATATAGAATAACAATAATCTCATGCTTGAAAATACTATATAATACTTTAAAACAAATATTGATACAACATTTATATTTTATATAGTAATTTAATTTTTTTAATTACGCAATTTAAAATTAAAATTAAAATGAAGAAAATGGTATCTATGAATTGATAAGATTATTTGACATTGAGAAATGTGTTGATTGAGAATTGATATTTTTGGGGTAACAAATTTTTTTTGGGATAAATTTTATTTGATTTGATCAAAGTAGATAAAGATTAAATTCATTTGATCATTGTTTTGTTTTTATCAGTTTCCTAACTGTAATATTTGACAGATATATAGATAGAAAGAGATTTATCTTAAACGATAAATGAAAAATGCTCCACCATGTTCCTATGAAGGCTCTTTCGGGCTAGCAGGTTAGGGTTGGGTAGACTGAGCTGTTGACCAGTCAATGGACCGTCAGTCCGAGCCTGCCGGGCCTTACATGCAAGCAATCTATTTTTTTTCCGCTGATTGATCGAACAACTCAACAAACCCACGGAATGAAAAAATGAATTGTTTTGCATAATCGGAAAGGTTGAAATTTGTATCGACTGCCTCTCCTAGAACTCACATTCCTAAGGCACACAATGTGTAATGGTGCGATTCATCTAGCCGACTTATCGATTGACCTCAGTAGTATCCCTTAAAACCTCTCTTCAATAACCTCAAAAGTTTTTCAAATGACAGTTCAACGAGTGTTGAGGGAGGTTGCCAACCACTGGAGTCGGGAGTGAGGTTAGTCTTGACGGCAATAGAGTTTAGTGTAAGCAGTGAGATTGTAAAATGAGATAGGAAGCACATATATAACAACCCGTCAAGACTTATGCACCCAGGCTCTAAACTACCTATATTCATACAGGTAGAATCCCTAAAAACAATGCCTTCATTACAAAAAGTAATGTTTTGATCCCAACTACCAAGTTTCAAAATAACGACACTCCAGACAATGGGGAAAAAAAATCAATTTCTTGGGATGGAACCATACTACCAGTCTACAAAAAAGTTTATGGAGATCGATTTTTGATATTTATAGATCTATTCCACCTCTAACTTGACGTCCCTCTTGGTCTGGGTTTTGGCAGATCTATACAGTATCAGTATATATGCTTGACAAAGTGATGGTAAGGACAAAGGCTGACCCTGAGCTTACAATAGTGCCTACCTGATTACTGAATTAAATATTTCAAGACCTCGAGCTTGGAATGGTATCTATCTGATCACTGAATAAAAAACATCCATATCCTTGCCGTCTATGCTAGGATACACTAGGATTTATTAAAATCTAAAAGAGTGGATCATCAAAAGATTGGAAGCACAAGTATTGAATTGTTTTTAATTGAACACCGAGGTCTGTGAATTAGTTATGGAGTAATTTTTCTACAAAACAAATGAGAGGACATACCTCGCCATCCCAGATTCATTGGCAGGCAGAAAGAATAACGTTTCTTTTTCGTTCAAAATATAACGGACTTTGGCAAAGTTAAGGAAGTTATTCCATAAACTGACTACTTACTCGGGCATCAGATAACCTCTACCATCGGAAGGAGCAAGTGACATGGATGAAAACTGCAGTGCAAGTAGTTCTTCTCTGCTATACTTCAACCGCTGATCTATTGGAAAATCACGAGAAAGGCACTCAGATGGGTCAAAACAAGCCGCAGCTACTACAAAACAGGCCAAAAAAAAAAAAAAGACTTAGTCGAGTCCTACCTATAAACATGTCCTTCAGGGAATTAGAGGATAATATGGCCTGTTTTCCCAGCTTCTGTTTCGATTTCAAAGTTTTTGAAGATACTCGTGATGTAGACGGAAAGCCATCTGTTTCAGATGGGAGGATATGGACGAGTTCATGCCTCAATTCAATATTGGAGTACCTCTTACAAAATTCCAAGAGAACATCCTTTGTCAGGAGCCAACAACCCCTCATATCCAGCACTCTCAATGTTGCTGGCGGAGTAAATGAATCAAGCCCAGTTTTGGTCAACACAGCATCATGAATACTGAGATTTATCAACTTTTGGATGGATGACAAGTGGTACAAAGACATGTCTGTAAGGGAAGCACTTTTGACAGATAAATGGCTTAGTCCTCGGAAGGTTGATAGAGGGCAGAGTGCTGCATCCCTAATCTGTGTCTCATCCAAATCCAACTTTTCCAAAAACTGGAGATTTTTCAGGGCTGTAAGTGATGGGACTGGCTCGGCGCCTACCTGGTTGATGAAACCTGCCAGTCCAGACAACAGAATTACACAGCTGTAATAGATGTATTATTGACAAGCAACAAAAACAATTGGAGATGATAAGTACAAGAGAGACAATAACAAAAAAAAAAAAAAAAACTAAGACAAGACCAACCTTGGCACTAAATTTTCCAAAGGATATCTTAGTGTATTATAAAAATGCAATCATGTTCAATTGTAAGGTAGATAATTGACATTTTCAAATAGCGTGCAAAAGAATTTGGGGACTATCGAGTCTTCAAGTCAAACATTCACCATGCATCTCACAGGGGAGGAGGCCACAAAACAAAAGAATTGCCATTGATGGATCACTAGGACTAACAAATTGGTATTAAAGCATCCAACTTCTATTTGTACAGGTCAAAAAGGAGATGAAACCATTCGTAAGTTGATGATCCCACTTGGGTTCATCCCACCAAGAAAATCACTTACCCTATTAAGTATGACAGTCTATAAAGACACTTAAAGTGGAGCTGGAAACTTCAATATGAACATTCGGCCTCAAGATGTATACACTAGTCATAATCTGTACCTGAAGGCACATGAAACATAAGATTCTAGTGTTCAAAAATGATTCCACTATATTAAATTTAAAATTAATTTCTTTACTTACATCATTTAAAATTAATTTCTACCTATTATTTTCTCAAAATGCATAACTCAATTATTTTTTTTTAACATGTGTATACTATCATGTATGAATAATGTATGAAATAAAAGTTGGGTTAGACTAAAAATTAATCAAATATTAAATGATTGAACGTGTGATAGAATTGGGTGATGTAATTTTTTTTGGGAAAAAATGTATAGGGGATAAAGATTCAACTTACTAGCTGAATTATTATATAAACATTACAACATTTCAAACAAAAAGAATCTTTTAATAAAGGAAGAGGGGGTAGTTCCAGTGTCAACAGGGGACAATTAACCCAATATAGGCACCAATTAAATGATTCAGACCTTTTGCTTCCATGACAATAAGTCAATCTCCTTGATCCCCAAATGGGAATTTTGATTTCCTCACATAAGACCATTTTGCATGCTGATTGTAGCACTCTATAAGTTAACAAATGTGACTCAAATATTAATAGTTCAATGAAAAAAAAACATACCTTTGATACACATACTGCCCAGTTTGATGACTTTTAATGCAGGCATCATGCTAATGTATGAGATAGCCAGATCATCAGTTGCTGTCTGAGACAATGATATAGTTTCAAGATTGGGAACATGTCCAGCTAAAATTCTAACTCCAGCAGAGCTTACTCTTGTTTTGTTGAGATTTAAATATCTTAAATTTGCTCCTACACATGCAATCTGTTCAACTCCATCATCTCCCATTGGAGTGCCACTGAGATCCAGATAATTTAGTGCACTCATATAAGGCAAAAAGAAGAATCTCATAAGGGAAGAGTTGGATAAATCTAAGAAAGACAGGAAACTGGTTTGGACGTATAACAAGGCTTCAGAAACATCGAAGAATGTAGCTCCAGAGAGAATAAGTTTTGTCAGAGGGGCTTTGTTGCCTACTCCTTCCAAAAGAGAATGTATTGTGCAATTACTCATGTTTAGGCATGCAAGAGAGGACAAATTCGGCAAATTTGTAACTTTGGTCCAAGCCAAATTCAGGAAACTCAACTTTGGGAACATTTTAAGGAGAGCAGCTCCTGTATTAGATATTTCACTCCCCCAGAGATCCAGGTACTGCAGTTGCGTCAGAACCTAACAAAATCACATACCATAATAGTTACCACAGAATTTTGACCATCCTAACTGAGACGTAGCTCTGATGGAACTTAGAATGAAGCATAGGAAAATGTGCTACATCTGCTCAAAGAAGGACAACTGTGATAGCACTATACAATACAGGCTGTACAGCTTAGCCATCGGATAATCAATTTTCTGTTAGTTTGCTCCAAGTATAACTTTTGCTTGGAAATTGTGTACAGGCAGATACCATTTTTCATTGCAAAAGTGGGCTAACCACATAGTACACAGACATCTGCACAAGATTTTCTGGGCTAGTTTTAACCAAACCAAATGCCTATAACTACAAAAAATTCAGCCTATTTCTCAAATAGAAAAATGAGGCAATAGGGAATACTGGGCCCCCTTCAAAGTAATATGGAAAATCTGATGATAGAATGGGTCATGCAGTGGGCCCAGAATTCTCTATTGAGGTAAGCATGTCCACTTGGTAATTTGCAGAAGTAACTATTGTGAAGAATGCCACGAAGTACAGCAAGAATCATTGGCCAGACAAGGAAAAGAAGAAAAAAGTAATTTGCATCAATGTAGCAACAAGCAGTTAAAACATGTACCAGAAACATAATTTACCTGCAGAGAACTTAGTGCCTGATCAGTGATGTGTAAGCCTCCCAAATCCAACACGGACAAGTTTGTTAGTGAAGCGAGAAGTGTAACTCCATCTCCAGTCACACCTGTTTGTGATATGCATAATTTCTCCAAAGATGGAATGGACAAAAGATGCCTAATGCCAGCATCAGTAACCTTAGAGCATCTAGAAAGGTCCACTTCCTTTAAGTTTGTCATACCTAACACAAGCAAGCAACATGCAGGTGTGAGAACTCCAGACAATAGAATAGATACAAACTTGGCTGTCCATGTTCAGAACAAAGAAACTGATCTGATGTAAAAACTATGCCCTGTATGTAGCAAATTGCAATATATACATATATATTCCACTCTCCAGAAGCACTGAAATCAATGATCCATTTTCTAGTTCACATGTGAATAAATTCCATGACTCAAAACCTTTTCTTAATAGGGGTTTCTAGTGACAACACATAATTTATTCCCTCATAATGGCATACATTAGATTTGACCACAAAAACTGAAAAAAAGATAAAGATGCCTGGGATCATCTGGTCAGTCAAGCAGTAGTGAAGAACTAACTACTTCGCATTGACTTAACAATCCATTCAGAGGTGTGGAAAAATGAACTAGGATCTACTTTGATGAAAAGATGAGCCAAAAAAAATGGATAATCGAGGATGTCTGAGGGTTATACAAATTGTCCATGATTATTGCATCTTCATTCTTCAGTTTACAGAAACTTTTTTAGAATAACAAATTAAGTAAAGCAAGTTAAAGTATGTTGGGAATAGATTAATAGTTTGCGGAAGCATAAAAAAGAGGATTTGTTTTTTGTGAAAAAGAGGGCAGTCATGTAATACAGGCTATACAGCTGATAGTTAACAACCAAAATATGCAGGGAAAATTAGCAATATAACATTGCATGTTTTGATACATGCCAGAATGCCATTGTTTAAAGAGAGGGAAAAAAAGGCCTCGAAAATAGCAACTTATCAATACCTTGCAGCTCATTTGTTAATCATACCAAAATGCACATACCAGTAAGGGCCCAAAGAGCAGAATTATTGATTCTATGGCAGTCTGCAACATTCAATGAGCGCAAGTATCGAAATGCACCCAAGTATGCCAACCACTCCGCATCCACATGGTTCTCACCTCTCAGATCAATCTCTTCAACGCTTCGTTTAAAAACTCTAAAGGAGCAAATCTGAGTTAGATAATTTTGAAAGGGAATGTGAATACATAAATCATGTATATTCGAAATGCAATAATCTCAATTCATAACTTCAAAGCAGCATGATATATGAATGCAATACTCTCAGTTCATAACTTTAATGATATCATTAAATATGGATCAAAGCACAAAAATAATAACTGTCTCCAAAGGCATGATAATTAAGATTCATTCTCCAGAAAATGATTCCTACAGTCATTTCTCTCCATATCATAAGTAAATCAAACTGCAAAGGATTCCAACAGTGAGCTGTTGAAGCCAAATTCAAATGTAAACCATTCCATGCTTAGGATGCACTTCCCATAAATATAGTCAGCCTTTTTGGCATATAAGACAGAATCCAGGAATTTATACAATCACCATTCAATCAAACTTATATCAAACTCTGAGAAACTAGAGCATAATCTTCAATGGACAATAGGAATAGAAAATTTTGAAAACCACTGAGTTTTTAAAACCAAGAAACGCATGTAGCTAATCCAGTAATCAATACCCACATATCTATGACCATAAATATACAAGAAGCTCAAATATGTCTGCATATACAAATTATAGGCTTCAATATTAATCATGGCACAGTCTGATTCACATCAAATTGATTGAATGCAAAAATGTACCATAATGAGATAAAAAGATTGAGAACAGTGAATATTTGACCAGTAGATAGAGGTGGGCTCATTGGAGTTAGACTTGGAGGGACTCGCCTGGCACTTACAATGTGACTGTTTGGTCACAGCTGTTAATGCATTGTCTTTCTTTTTGAAATATTCAATCTTAATTGAGAAACAGCTGTAGTGAGATCTACTTCTTGTATGCTTTTTTGAGTGTGCGTTGACCAATTTCTAGTGGTAAGATAGTGTTGGTACCATACAACCTCAATTGTGTTATGAGTTCACTTGGATCTTACTTCCATGACAGTGAAGGTATCATTCTACTACTTATTTTTGATTTAGTGAAGGTATCATTCTACTACTTATCATTGATTTTTTTTCACCAGTGATTTGATATCAAATTCAGAAATAGTAGGCAAACTGTGCTATTGATCAAATTTGAGTAATCTCATTTGTGACTTTGTCTGGTGCACGGTGTATTACATGGAGATATGATACTTTATATCGAGCTGTACAATATGAATCATGAACTATTTCTGGCAATTTGAAGGAGATCTCATAACAACTACGCTCTATGTCCGTTTTTGTGTGTGCCTATAGCTTAATACACTAAGAAGTTTGAAGAATGGAGATTCTGTAGACTACACTTTCTGTAAACTGACACCTAATCTTCAGAAGATATAGAAAATTCAGAAGAAGGCAAAACTATTAAAACATTCAAAAATCGTGCGTGAATAACTATACATATGTAGACCTACATACATCTACATATACGAGATCCAGACAGTGATGTAATCGCTACGGCAGTAGAAATTGCATCAAATTACATTTCCAACTATCATGCCCTAATTTTTAGCAAATCACATCAAAATACAAGCTACCGTCAAATTAGGAAAATTCTCGATCTATATACGAATAAATAACCGTTGGCATGCGAGAGGAATCATTACTCTCGAAGATAAATAGGATTGATGGAAAAAAAAAAAAAAAAGAGTAGGTCAGTGGAAGAAGTACTAAATGAGTGAATATAGCAGTATGAAGAGGCTTTACTCGAGTAGAGAAGGGTAGAGAAGTCGGCGACGGAGGAGGCGACGGAGGAGAGCCTCGGCGAGCTGAGACGGCATGCGTTCAATAGTGCGTCGCTGTCTCCGCCACTTCTCGACGGTGTCTCTGCTTTGAGTCGCGGCGTCGATGCACATAAGAACCAAACGGCTCTCCATTCCGATCATCAGGTCTGATGAGCTCTCCATTTTCTCTCCCTGGTTGATGTGTTTTGATTGCTATTGGCCTTTATTTGATCTTGTTTTTCAGAAGTTCCTTTATGTAGATATTGATTGATCCACTGGGTTAGGCTATAAATCGTATAGAAGACCACCTCAACTGCCCACTTTTCTCGTCAAGGCTCAATAATATGTCTTAATCTCTCTGCATATAAAAGGACTAGAAATAACCCGTACCTGAAGGTACGGTGCAACTAAAAAAAAATCTAACATTGAATTTAAACGCGAAATAATCAAGCGCTGAACTCGAACATGTACTAAACTGAAAACCTAAACTCGCCCTATATCACGTATCTGAAGACACTGTACTTGATTCTTAAACACGAAATAATCAAATAATGAATATAAACATTCATTAAGTTAAAAATCGTTTGGTAATTTTTAATGTAATAAAAAGGGTCACAAATATGATGCCACAACTATCACACCCCAATCCTCCCTTCATGTACCAATTTATCAATCATCCCAACTCCAAGCTACATAAATGTCCTTAATTTAATCTACTCCAAAATTTTGAACCTCATCAAACACCACTACATTAAAAGAACCAGCTTGGCATTTGAGTCATCAAGCCATATTTCATTCTTATTGTTCTGTCAAATCTGGAGAATAAATTAATTTGGCAAGAGACCGACTTTGGAATTTTTGCTGTCAGAACAGCTTGGCATTTGAGTAGGAACAGGGGGGTGGTGAATGAGCTGGCTAGGCTTATTTGGAAGACTGTTACTGCTCCTGGTGCTCAATTAATTGGTTGGAAAATTATGTGTAATGCCTTGCCTTTAGATTCGAATTTTATGAGAATACGTGTATCCTTGGTGAACAGGTGTTGCATGTGTTATCAGAATGTGGAAACTATGGATCACCTTTTTGTTAAGTGTGCTTATGATTAACAAAATTTCATACAATCAAGTCAACATTCAATTTTATATGATTAACAAAATTCTTCATAAAAAATTTAAAACAAAAGAGAAAATTTAATGAGTAATTTATTACCCTTCTCCAAAATTCTTAAAAAACCAAAAAAACTATAAGTAGAATACATAGAACAAAAAACCAAAAAAGTTTGACAGTAATTTATAACAGGGAGTGTGTTAGACAATAATTAAAACACAAATGCAGAAGTAGATAGAATTTCAAGACGTATAAAAATAACCTGTGCTTAAAGGCACTGTATAGTACAAAAAATAAAAATCGAGCGCTAGTTGTGTAATATAAATATTTAAAATAACAATCTATTTTTTTTCTTTAATGACATAACTTGGAATTATTTTGTGAAAAAGAAAAAAGACATAACTTAGAATCAATATGAGCTATGGAAAAATTTCAATCTGTGTACATAGTGTATACATATCAAAAATTATATTTGTCATTACATCACAATCATGTCCAGACATAACTATTTTGCCAACACAACTAAATTGAGAACTTTCAAATTTATCGATAAGCGAATGATATTTTAATAAATTCTTCCAAGTAATTTAGATATGTTAAAATTCATAAGATTAGCACTTGTTAATAATTACGCAAACATTGTTGTAAAACTCATGAACAAATATTGGTACTGCTTTAGTTGGGCACTTTAGAGGAACATACTACCAATGTAAACTCCAAGATGACCAGTTGAGGAGGCCTAATCAATGTTCTCAAGGTGATATGATTTGCATATAAAGTAGATCACTGTTTGGATGATGCAGCCAAAGAGAATCAGTAGGGACAACCACCACCTGCAAAGATCAACATAAACTCCCATAAGCTTGTCTCCAAACCAAAACACAAATAGGAAATGAAATGCCGACTAAATTTCTATAAAACAAAGCAAAAGGAACATGGGAATAGAAACTCTGGGCAACTGTTTGAAAACAAATTAGGTCTAAATAGCATTAATCATTAAAAAAAAAAAAAAAACCTGGGCAACTGCTTGGAAAAACTGAAGAGCAGTGGCAGAGGAAAATATGTGTACTGGCTGACTTTAAAAAGTCAGTTTGCTGGGAGAAAAACATAATTTAAAAAGGGGCTTTAGAGCTACTACAAACGGGAGAGGAAAAACCCATAAAAATTATTGCTGAAAAACAGAGAAGAAAAATTGAGAGTTCCAGCCAAGAAAAAAAGGAGAAGCTGCACATGTTGCCAAAGGAGTTGTAACTCCATTCGTTGGTTTTAAGAATGGTTTTGTGTGTACACTACTGAAAAATTCTGGTAAGTTGTCCCTTTAAACAACAATAACCAAATTTCAATTAACACTTCAATTGACAATAAATTTCATAAAACTCACCATTCATAAACTAATACAAAATTTCAATTAAAATTCAGCAATTATTACCCATTAACCAAATAGAGTCCCCCATCTGACAGATTAAAAATAGGAACCAACTAAAGTCAAGCAAATCAAACTCAACTGAACAAAAGTATAGAACACTGATAAAGACAATTCAAACTGATTATTACCCACGAAAAAACATAACCACAAAACTCACAAATTTATTTTTTCCTTTATTTTTCTTTCCTTTTTTTGGCAACCAAACAACACCAGACGAAAAAGGGGATACAGTTCTTTACCATTGAGATTGAGAGTTTCAGATGCAACACCAATGGGAAGAGCATCGGTCCAGTGCTTTGCAGGTTCATTGAACCTTACCTTGAGTGGCCTCGTAGTCTCTGATGCTACCAAGCTTTAAGGTCCAGTGCTCTGTTTCAAACCAGAACCTAGTCACCAACTGGGCTAATGGAAACAACAAGCTCTCAAGTCTTCCTTTTTCTTTCCAAAATCTTTGAATGTCACTGGGTTTTGCTCATATACCAACCAAAATCTTTGGGTCTTTCTTCTTTCACAGTTTGCTCATATACCAGCATATGGGTTTCCCCCAACTTGGGTACTGATATGGGTCTCTCTAATCCAAAGAAAATCTCAACGACCCACAAAGAAGAGAGCTGGGCGCTGTTGGAGCTGGGCGCTTGAGGGGAGGGGAGGAGATGGTGAGAGAGATGGGGGAAGAGACTGAGAGAGAGAGGATAGGGAGCCGCCGCGGTCAGCATGAATTTGGGGAAGAGACCGACAGAGAAAAGACTGTGACTGAGAGAGAGAGATAGCCGTTTGGTTGGGTTGGCTTGGGTTGGAGAGAGAGAGAGAGGGGCAGAGGGTTTAATTGGGGGTGGCGTGTGTTTGGGTTCAAAATGGGCGGGATTTTTTTTTTTGGGTTGAGATGCATTGCAAGTCATTGGATTGAAATGAAAGAAATGAGATGAAAATGTGGGCCTTTGAATTAAAAGTAGATTTAATCTGAGTCGTTCTTATGCTTTTCCAAATAAATTAAATTTTAAAGTAGAAAAAGATTCAAAATGAGTCCTATCTTATTAGTAAAGATATCTGAACATGAGGAGTGCGATCCTGAATAGCTTATTTTTTATATATTTTTGTGTATTATTTTTTTAATATTTTATTAATTTCACATAGACGTGCCCAACACGATTTTTTTGAGAAAATTTCATCTACGCCCCCATTTAATTAGATCTAAATTTAATGACATCCATTCTCAATTCTAAAACTTTGTTGCACCAGCTACACTACTGATTTATATTTTCAAATCAAAGACATATCCTTACCAGTAGTTTTTAATTCTATCCGTACAAAAATTAATGATTTAACTATAATTTTTTTGAAAATGTCAAAACTATAATTCTTTGTATAAATATATTAAAATGCTCTCAACCTTTTTCCCACTATATATACTGGGCAATGCTATGTAACCTAAATTTATATCCCAAATCAATAAAGCCTATTTGATAAGTGATTTTCATTGAAAAAAATTGATAAGACTCATTCATTTAATAGTCATTGTTCATTTTGAGATACAAATTTGTGTTACAAATTTGAGTTACATAGTATTTTTCATATATACTACACATTTGGGGTTGTTGAAAGACATAGGGGATTGAAGCTAGCCCTTAATCTTCAACTCGTTCTTACAGCGATCGACCACTATCGAAGTTGGTTAAAAAAAAAAAAAAAAAATTCTGGCAGATTTGTAAATGTTTTTCATGCAGATTTTTTAAAAAAAAAATTTGTGCAATTTTTTATTTATTTATTTTTCATGCAAATATTTTTAATTTTTTTCATGCAATTTTTTTTAAATTTTTTTTCATGTAGATAGTTTTAATTTTTTTCATCCAAAACGCCATTTAGACTTTTATGTTATTAAGTTCATTTCCTTATAAGTTGTTGGGTAAAAAGTACACTTTTTGATTTCTTATTTTCTTATATTACCTAAGTTTTCCTTGTAATATGTTTTTTGTTGCTCGTTATAAATTATAGGGTTATAAATAATTTTTTTATAATAAAATTGTAATCGATAAAGTCAATCTAAAATTCCATCAATTTCTAACTTCTCTGCTATCGTCTTCCCTCCGCAACTTCACATGACCACTCTTCATATATCACCCTTCATATATAAAATTTAAATATTATTTGATAAAATTTAATGTTAATTAAATAAATTTAGTCTTAATATGATAAATTTAAATATTAATTTAGTTTTAATTCAATAAAATTAAATATTAATTCAATGTTGATTTGATAAAATTTAATGTTAATTGAATAAAATTAAATATTATTTTAATGAAATTGAATGTTCATGTGTTGTTAAATTAAACAACTGATATTAATTTGATAAGGTTAAATGTTAAATTAATAAAATTTAATATTCTATTTAATATATTAAATTTTAATTAAATAAAATTAAATGTCAATTTAGTGTTAATTTAATGAAATTGAATAATAATTTAATGTTAAATTAAAGAAATAATATTAATTTGATGAAATAAAATATTAAATTAATATAACTAAATACTAATTTGATAAAATTAAATATTAATTTGTGTTGATTTGATAAGATGAAATGTTAATTTAGTTTAAATTAAATAAAAGACATTTATTTGATAAAATTAAATATTAAATTGATGAATCTAAATGTTAATATAATAGAATTAAAAAAGAGTGCATTGAAATTTCAGAATCAGAAGAGAGTATTGTTAAAGATAGGTCAATTTACAGGAGTGTCGTTGAAGTTATGTCTATTTAGAAGAGGTGTAAATAAAATTTATCCTATAAAATATTTAGGGGCATTTCTATAAATTAACAATCGCCGTAATCCAACAAACATTGACAGAGGACGATAGTAAAATTTCAGAATCGAAAAGAGGTGTTGTTGAGTTTAGAGTCAGTTACAAATGGTGCGGATGGAAATTTCTTTTTTAAAAAAAAAAAAAAACAAGACGTGCCCAACACGTTGAACTGTTGAAGTTGAAGTACTTGTCTTGTCTCACACACAAAATAAATAAAAGCAAAAAAATTTGGGCGTCATTAAAAAAAAAATTATTTTATTATTCGAAACTTGTCACGTGGGACAAAAAATGGCTCAACTAGGTCTCCAATATTAATGTAAATCCTCTTTCTAACCATTATGGCACAATTATAATTTCAACGATACAACCACAGTTTCGTACAATACTAAATGGTAATCGAATTGTGTTATGTCCTATTATATTTTAATCATTATTTTTTATTTTTAGTGAGTATTAATTAATTTAAATACAACATGTTCAATTAATTAATAAGCACGTTATGTCCAAATTGACAAACATTTAATCTCAAGGATGGTGGTGTTTCGAGTTCATATTTCTTTTGATGATACTTAGAGCAATTCCCAAGTATGAACTCGTTAGAGCAATTCCCAAGTATGAACTCGAGAGCGGAGGTCAAACGCACAAAGCTCGTAAAATCAGAGTAAAGCTCAACCCAATTGAAACTGCAACGGAAGTAATGAAGAGATAGTTATTTGTCAACAGAAACCCTAGACACAGCAAAGAGTCATAATCAAAACATAAAACTCTCATCCAAGAAATATCACCTCCTAAAATCAAGGAGGATTCCTCGGATAAATGACAAAGATCTCGGGGCGGATCCCACAGAATTAGGAAAAGCCCTATAAATACTATGTAACGCTCCCAACAGAGGGGTAGGACCCTAGTATCACATCTTACAGTCTGTAAACCTTTTGGTATAGTAAATAGTGAAGGAAGGAGCAAGAATTTTAATTGAAGAGTGGATTAGCCGAATTCTCGAACTGGTGAACCACTATATTTTCACTGTGTATATCTCTTTAATCCCCTCAATATTTTATTGTAGCATCATACACGAACCTCGAAACTCGAATCCACGCTCATCTCACGTTATCTGCACCTTAAGCTCATTCACGTTAAAATACACCATCATCTCTCAACCGAGATTGGTAGAGGTGGCAATCGTATGGTATTGTATTGTTTTGTTATTGTTGGGTTCCTTGTGTGTGTGGTGTGGTCGTGTTGCAATCAATACAATAATATACATAACCACAGTTTCGTCCAATTGGTTTTGGTCCTAAAAAAGGACAATCAACCATAAGTTGGTTCGGTCCAGGGTTGATTAATGCTCTAAACCCACCCAAATTTGATGTATTTTTCTGAAAAAATTGGGCTTCAATTGATTTATAATTAATTTTGAATACAAAAAATGAATAAAAGAAATGGTCCAATGAGACATATATTATATGACTAATCTTGTGGATTGACATAGTTTAATAGGTTTATCACATTTTTTTATTTTGAAGTGTAAGTTTTTTTTTATTTTTAACGGAGGAAATTTTTGGTTTATTTATCATTCTTTATCCAAGAGTTATGTGCTCGCATAAAGTACAAAACTTTAATAACACAAATAATTTAAGCATAAATTATTTGGACTGAAGATTTATATTAAAATAAAAAATAATCGATTTTATAAATTTTTATCACAAATAATAATGTAAATAATTTTTTTATGTGAGTGAGAGGAATACAATTATAAACACACCCAAAAAAGTTTGAAAAACTTAAATAAAAGCTCACAAATAGTAAGTAATTTTAAACCTAAAAAAATTAGACATTAAATTGAACTATTAAAATTTGAATTATATCTAAAATACAATTATAAGTTATAACTAAAAAAATAGGCCTATTATAATAAAGGTATAAAATTTATAAACGGCCGTCCAAAATTTTGGCATAACCAAATAGAAAGGAATTTTGGACTTAACAAAATTAAATATTGATTTGAACTTTTAAAATTTAAGCCTTAAAATTTTGGATCATATCTAAACTAAAAAAAATTAGATCTACTATACTAAAGGAGTAAATATTTTTAGGGGTCCTCTAAAATTTGGGGTCACGGGCAAACACCTTAGTTGCCTAGGGCTTGGGTTGGCCTTGGTAGAGCCCTACGTATGTTGTTCAGGTTTATGAGTCCAGATAAAATTGTGGGTAAACTCCCAATGCATGAACTAGTCCCTCAACACATACACTAATTAAATCAAGACTTACGTTTCGGTATAGATTTGAACTCGTATCAACAACCTAGATACAATTTATTTAAACAACTGAAATTTGTCTTACCAACGAGCCATATTTTTTTTGCCCAAAAGACTTGAACTCTTTATGACAAAACTTTTATAAGATAAATTGAACCAAAGATTTACTGATATAAGCCTCTTATGTCCGATAAAAACCAGTGGCAGGGCTAGTCACATTAATAACCATCTACTGCTAAGAAGAATGATAGAAATACTTGTGATTGTGCTATCTCATGAAAGACTTAAAAATTGATTATCACGACTCACACAAGTAATTAAGGCTTAATAATGTCTGAATGTCCTTCCAAACTATTGGAATCTTTACTATCTAATTTGCCACACTATAAAAGCATCATAGTAGCTTGCTTTTCTGGTGTGTATTTATGCATTGAAAAGGATAAGAAGAGGTTTGGTGTCGAATTATAAAATGTTTATAATACCTTTTATTTTTCTCAGAATGACTAGTCATACATTTTTTTTGGTTAAAGTAATGCAGGGGTGAAGGCAAAGAAAAATACTCAAAGACTATCTGATAGACTTTCACTAGTGGGATTATGAGATATTTGACCGTGATTTTACTCTTTTCATAAACAAATTTAATTAGGTTAATATAACAGTTAATCCATTGAGTTCTATGTGGATTTCACGACTCGAATATCGATCAGTACTCCATGGGATCACCCCCACTCGGTAGTGTCATACATTTTTCTTTTAACTCCACTTAACTACTTTAACTAATGAAATATCAATAATATCCATAAATTCTTTCCAATTAACCTCCTAAATTCCGTTTGTAAGCTTAGTTAACTGTATTTTTCTCTTTATACGGATAATCGAAAGTACAGGTGTCGAAAATGAAGTTGATCGTTCTCACAAGAGGCTAACAAGTCGACGGTTTATGCCTCATGGGTTCGGCACACAGATTCGGTTTCATATTAAAAAGATGTTGTTTGTGGTTTACCTCAATTTCTGCCCACCAGCACCAGCACCTGAGGAAGTAAGCTTCGTCACGGTGGCTCAAAGTTCAAAGGAAGGCTATGTGACAGGTCCGGCTTCCCTGTAAACACCGCACAGCAAATACCCAAAATGTATGTACTAATAAGTCCAGTGAGTTGAGGTTAGCGTTTGGCGCCACCGTCTTCAGTGAGTTCATGCATATCAACAAAGCACCAAAACTCCAAGGATAAACTTGCAGTACCGATTTGTAAATTATTAATTAAAAAAATAAAGTAAAAAAATTATTTGTTATATTTCTATTAAATAAAAAAATGAAAATCATACGGTTGATTTTTATTTGGATTGTTTGTAATTATTAATTAAAAATTTATATGTATTATATTTTTATTAAACAAAAATGAGATACATTATTAAAAAAATTATTTTTTAATTTTTTTTATTACAAGATAATCAAACTTGTGTCGATTATATTCTTAAATTCTAAACTGATTACTATAACTCAACTAATTTAAAGGGGAACGATGGTTTAACTCAAACTCGATAGCAAACAATATTGATTCATACAATGAATTGAGTTAAATCACATACCATGGCTGGTGTGCGGTAGGTAGGCCGTTAATCGAACTGGGTTATTTGAGATTGGTTCAAATTTAATTTTTTCAAATTTAGTTTATTTTTAAAAGAAATTTAAACTTAAACAAGGTTTTAGGCTCGTTTAACAAACAAATTTGATAAGCTCGTTTTGTTTATATGTAAATAGTCAAACTCGACTTATTTTGGGCTTGTTAAAGTTCGACTCGTTTAAATAATTTTTTTAACTCGATTAAATTTTTTTTTTTTTTAAATTTGGCTCGAGCTCGTTTGACTAATCATCCTAGCGGTAGGGATGAATCCAAGAATCCTTTTATGTTTTTTTTTTTTAAATTTGTTGCCTTCGTGGATTGAATTACTCCCGTTAAATTGATTTTTTGAGAAAAACTTGAATCACATCCTTTATCTATTGCCATATTTCAGACACATTCCTTGCATTCGTTGAAATATTCTTGTATCTTTTTTTTCTATTTGTTATCATCATTTCAGCGCATACATTAAACAATATTATTTTAAAAAAAACTCTAATTATAATATACAATATAAAACAATTGTTTTCATTACTTTTGTGATTAGACAAGCATTACAATGCAATTTCATCAACAAAAATATTGTGTATTATGTAAGATACATAATTTTGTGAGTTGGATTAAAACAAAACACAATAACCACATACATCGTTTAGATTCAAGGATTTATATTACGATTTAATTTTTAACATTTTAATTACGATAATTCATTAAAATTTTAATTTTTAACTACAGTAACTCAACTTATATATCTATCTATACTACTAATAAAAGTAACTGAAGTGAAATTTTTTTGATTTCATTATTTATCCCTGAAAAATTCTATAATGTCTACTTTTTCATTTTTTTTAAGAATTTTTTATTTTTTATTAGTTGCATTAATTTAATTAATAAATTCATTAGTTAACTTTTGATTATCTTCTTTCTAAATAATATAAATTCAATCTAAGTCCGATTTGAACAATGTAATCCAAATCTAATTCAATTGTCCAATGAATTTTGTATTTCACAATGTATATATTAGTCTGTTAAAATATATATCATTTATAATATGAATAAGTTGATTATAGACGATTTTTGCATTTAACATAAGAATTTCTTCTCAATTTTTTTAAATAATGACTAAATTACATCATATGTTTATAAGTACTTGGTGCATTTTCCAAATTTGCTAAAAAATAAAGGAAACAAGTGTCATTATTGTGTAACCGTGAGCAGCTCTTGAAAGAAAAGGCAAGCTCTTGAAAGGAAGCAAGAGAAAGAAAAGGCGTGACAGCTATTGACGCGTGGAAAGAGAAAAGGGAGGCTCTAGGCGGCTTTATTTTAGGAGCCGAAACGCCAAGCTGTCGTTACCCAGAACTACACGTGTAGCCCAATGGCCCCCACCGCTACATCAAAAGTCCAGGCCCACACACTTCCAAATAATGTCTCCCGCCAAATTTCAATCACCTACTATCCGCATCTGTCACCACGTATGGACTTTCCATTCTGAACCGTCCACGTCTTATTCGAAAGATTCCAAACTCAATTGTGACCGCCATGTTGAGGCCTACGTGGCGACAACCCACCTCCTCTTCAATCCACGTACATGTTCATTTCTCGGAGTATTGAAATAGCATCTAATGTCCAAATGAATCGATGAATGCAGCTCGTTAACAACTTTCCCGATAAAATTCTCTGGATTGCTTTCTATATAATGTTTAAGAAAGCACTTTGGTTTTGATCATCGGCCGCAGACTATGCTGGTGAGAAAATGACGTCGAATTCTGGCGGACCAAGCGGATTTCTAGCTAGAAAAGCAAGCGAAGCTCGCCGGAAAAGGCTGGACATTGAACGGGCGAAGTCTTTCATTTTGATGAATAGATTGGAGCCGTTGAATGATCCGAAGTTCGGGACTGACGATGATTGTTCGGTGAAAAAGAGGCGGATAGGTTTTACGGAAGTTACATCGAGCGACCCACCGAATGCTACTGGAAAAGACTCCAAAATCGACCTCGGTGCCGGAAAGTTGAATAATGAACTGCCGATGTCGGATTCGGGGGAGTCGTCTTCTCATTCTTCAGAGAGCGGTGGTGCGCCGGTGGAAATAGTAGTTAGAGAAGGCGAAGTATGCGTTGGGGAAGAGTCGGAGCCGGTGGGCTTGACGTGTTTATCTTATGGATCGATCTCTATGTTAGGACGGAGGAGAGCGATGGAGGACGCAGTGACGATGGAGCGGGGGATGGTCGCAGGGAAGTTCATGTTCTTTGCCGTGTACGATGGTCACGGTGGGTCTAGCGTCGCTAATGCCTGCCGTGATCGGTTACACCACCTGGTGACGAAGGAGATAGAAGGAAGGACGTCGCCGGAGGGACGGACACCCGCCTGTGGTGGGGGGATTGAGTGGGAGAAGGTGATGAAGACTTGTTTTGCGAAGATGGATGAGGAAGTGAGTGAGAGAGCTGGTGGTGGGAATGAAGTGGAGGTGAGAGATGGCCCGTCAATGTCGGTGACGAAACTGGGTTCGGTGGGTTCGACGGCGGTGGTGGTAATTCTGGGGAAGGAGGAGCTGGTGGTGGCAAATTGTGGGGATTCCAGGGCGGTTCTCTGTCGTGGCGGGGTTGCTGTGCCTTTGACGAATGATCATAAGGTGAGGTGGTGTCGTTCACCCATGGACCATGTCCATTGCACTTACTTACAACTCATTTTCCTCATCTAGTTCCTGCCACTGAAAAAAATAATGTCGGTACTAGAAATTGGTCTATAATTTTAATTTATTTTAAAAACAGTTAAAAAAATTTAAAATTTATTGCATTCAATGTTCTTAAAGTATAAAATTTATCTTATTTTGATTTATAATATTTTATTTGTATTATTTTTGTCCATAAAATATTAAATATATTTTTATATGGGATTTTAAACAGACAACGTTTAGATTGCTAACGATTTTTTATCATAAACTTGTCACTTAATATCTAAACATGGATAAAAAATAATTTCGATAACCTTTAAACAAAATTTGAGTAGCTCTTGAAAAATAATAAGAGTAACTTTTAATCAAAATTTGGATATCTCATAATTAAAATTGTATAATTTAGGGAGTTATTTAACCAAAAATTGAGTAAAAATTTAATCAAAACTTATTCAAATTATTTTATTATTCATATTTAAGTATCATATAACAAGTTTATGATAAAAAAACGTTACCAATTTAAACATTGTCTGCTTATTAGACTATATAGAAATATATTTTTTTTGGGAGTGGGAGTGGGAGTGGGAGTGGGAAGGAGGAGGGGGGAAGAGGGCTTAAACCCACGACCTCAAGAAACCAAAATTTTTACAAAATAACGAGTACTATTAAAATATTGAGGATTGAAATGATATAAATTTTATACTTTGAGGACCTATAATGTAATTAACTCAAAAATTTAAAAGTACCACGTTTTTAAAAAAAAAAATAAAATTACAAAATTACGAAATTAGTTTTGAGTGACCCTATTCTTTATTCTCCTTTCCATCTCGCTTGAAAAAATAAAAGTGTGAATAATCTAAAGTAGTTCAAATAAAAATAAAGATGGATGCTAATTATAGTTTGAATTTTAATAATTTTTTAAAATCAGATCATGAGAGATTTAGGGTCTGTTTAGTTTGAGTTTCAAAAAATAGTATCCGAAAACAGTTTATGAGAGGAGTTTTAAGAAAGTGATTTTAATATTTTTTGAGATAAAAAACTTGTTTGGTTAGATGATTTCAAAAATAATTTTAAAATACAGAAAATAGTAAAACCTGTTTGGACGGCCTAAATATATATTTGAACAGTAATTCAAACATTAATAAAAAATATAAAAAAATTACTTTTATATTAACAGTTTCGTAATATATATATATATATATATATATATATATATATATATATATATATATATATATAAAATAAAACATGAGTGTGTTTGAATTTTATCCCAGTCATATTTTCCTCCTCAAAATCATCATCAATCACTTACCTTACCCATCATTTATTTGTCAGACTCAAACATCAAATCAAATCATTCATTTATTTTACATATTAAATCATTTATATATTTCCTCCCTAAAAATTTTACACTACTCATTTCAATTATATATTTAATCATTTAATATTTAATTAATTTGTAGGTAATATATTTTAAAAAAATTTAATATAGTGAGATCAATTTTTTGAACGCTCAAATTTTATATTTTATCATGCCTTCAGGCACGGGTTATGACTAGTATAAATATATTATATAGATATAATATAATATAAATATGTTTATATATAAAACTATATTATTTATATATATATATATATATATAAACATGTATTTTTAAATATATACGTATTATTCTCCTTATTTTCAAAATTTTTAAAAAAAACTCTGAAAACAAGTTAAACTTGTTTTCTGTTTTTTGACTCAAATCTCATTTTTTTTCCAAAATTTAGAGAACAAAAATACTAAATAAACAAATAGATTTTAAGTGTTTTTAAAATTTTGAGAACAAAAAATTATTTTGCAGACACAAACCAAGCATTGTCTTATTTCTTTTGAATATTTTAGTCTCGATATAGATATTATTTCGAAATAAAAATTAATCGAATTGCGTATAAACTGACTTTTACATTCTTCACTGTTGAGCCAAAGAAACAAAATGAACGAATCACATATGCATTAACTGCTGAACATGGAGAACGTTATTTGAACAATTAGACTTCATTTGCTGATTTGATATATTATAATTTTTAAATTAATAGTTAATTGTGAGTAATAATAGAGTTTACTCTCAATTTAATGATAAAGAGTGATTATGTCATTAAATAAGAGGTCAATAAATTAAATCTAAATAATATTAATGTATATATTTTTTTTTTGGTTAGAAATAATATTAGTGTTGAAATATACTGTAAAAGGACAATTTTGTGTTTTGTTGTCTATCCTTGCATAGCCTGACAGGCCAGACGAAAAGGAGAGAGTTGAAGCCGCAGGAGGAAGGGTCATAGAATGGAATGGCTCCCGCGTCCTAGGAGTGCTTGCTACTTCAAGGTCAATTGGTACGTGAACAACTTCTTGTGGTGCTAATGGCTTAATTTTAATCTTTCTCTGCTACAAAATTCATACACAAAAGCAAAGTTGATATGTCAAAAGTATAACACTTTTCATAGGCTCATAGTAGTCTTTATTCATAATGTGTAAAAAACAGACTAGGTGCCTAAAATTCTCTGTCCACCTCTATTCCAGGGACAATTTTCAGTATGATTCAAATAAAATCTTAGCCGCAGATTAGTTTGCGTCTAAGAGATTTATTTTGGTGGTTTAATATAATGCTTTGGTATTGATTCTAAATTTCTAACTTGTCCCTCGTTTGGCTTTCTCTTGGGTTAATTTTATTTAGCACCTCACTTACTTTGTTAAGGGTTAATAATACTTTCTCGAGTCATTTTAGTTCTTACATATAAATGGTCCATCAAGTTTTTTGATGAAAGTGATCACGCATTTTTTTTTTAAACGGTGTCACGTGTTTAGCACGTGATCATTCATTTAAAAAAATTAACGGTTCGTCTAAGTAGAGATCAAAATGATACGAATTGAATATTTTAGGGATAAATTTGATATAATGAGAACTAAATTAATAAAAATATATATACTTTAGTTATCAAAAGTGTTATAAACCCTTTTGTTAATCTTGAGACTAAAATGTAGTTGCTACTAGTCATGACATTTGCTGCCTTTTTGTGATTGTTGCAACTTGATTGGCTTCTAGTTCTATTGCGCTTCTAAGTATTGGAAACAAATTATCAAAGTTGATAGATTTGATGTATTTATTAGCCGATTAGTAGGATCATCATGTAGATTTGGTGTGTGAATTAAGTTAAACTATTCGATTACTTATTTGGTCACGTTTCTTAATTTATCTTAAAACGATTTTTCATTTGAATGAAGGAGATTATTATCTAAAGCCTTACGTGATCAGTGAGCCAGAGGTTACTATGAGTATGCGAACCGAGTTAGATGATTTCCTTATAATAGCGACAGATGGTTTATGGGACGTGGTGTCCAATGCAGTGGCGTGCAAACTCGTAAGAAAGTGTTTTGATGGCCAATATGGGATGAAATCCTCCGATAGAAATTGTGCTACGGACGCAGCATCAATGCTAGCCGGTTTGGCCATGGCAAAAGGGGCCAAAGACAACATCAGTGTCATAGTAGTTGAGCTGAAGAAGTCAACTTGCACCGGCACTTGATCATGTTCACTTTGGTTTTTTTCTTTCTGTACTGTTTAGAGTTGAAGGTTTGATGTGCAAAGAAGTTTTTAAGTTTTGTACTAACTTGGTGTCTGCCGTTAGCTTGCTGTAATGTTTGATTAAAGTTTAATGTAGGCCAACCGTGAGGGAATAAGCTAATTTCCTCATGGTTGAGTGTGTTGCATTTGGAATTCTACCAGTTTTCCCTTGAAACAATTTTTTCATCTTTGAAGGTACACTCCATGGATTATTTGATCCATATTGATGCAATGCAGCCAGGTGAAGAAGACTGACATCTACTAAAAAAAAGAGTAAAGAATGAAGATTAAAAAAATGATTTAAGGTAGCATTGCAGGGGTGATGTGGATCCAAATTTGTTGACCCAGCAAACAATTATGGCAGCGGGCTGGGGTGGTGCAGCAACAAACAGCAAATGTTAATTTCATCGCATCGTATAAACATAGTTGGTTAAGCAGTGAATTCAATAGATTCTACGTGTCAAGGAAGGTTTTTTAGAAAAATAACTCTAATTGATCTTTCCTTGGAAAGCTTCTTAAAAGAAATTTGAATATTGTTTTGTCACCAGAAGAGAAACAAGGAGGGCTACTCATTCATAGCATAGTGGAGAGAGACTTTAATTAAGTTAAGCTATGAACGCTTGATGACTTAATGGATGTGGAATTTGTTAAAAGTAGGTTTCGATCATAGAAGAAAAATTCTAATTCATTCCAATTAAAAAAATTCTGATTCATTCCAATTAAGCTTCCTTTCTAATAATTTGGAAGTTCTTCCCAGATACAAGGAATTGATTCAATTCCAGAACCAAAAATCGTCATGTTACCGAACAAGCAACGGTTAAACGATCCTCTTCAAATAATTCCTCCAACCCAAGGATAGCTAAAATGTTCTAAAGTTTTTTGTAATGTTACAAAGTTTAATCTTTTGCGTAGTTTCATAATTATAAATCCCCACATGTCTATACTATCAACAATCATCCTATTTTTAACGTCTTTATTTACATCCTAAATCAAACTATAAGAATAATAAGTATAAAGGGCTAAACAATGAAAGAGAAAAATATCACATTTGCAATCTCATCAATGAGCTAATTTAGAGGAATTGAAGAAAGATTTTTCTAAATATACTAGTTCTACATCATGTTGTCATGGATGATTCTAGGAGACAGAGGGTAATTTGGTTTTGGTTAATGAATGATGCTAGACATGGATCTTTATAAAATTCATCCTACCTATATTGGAGATGGGTACGAGATAGGATTTGTGACAAAAGACACTTAAATTCGAGTTAGACAAGTATAGAATAACCAAGCAGTCCGGCAGACTACCTTTCACTAATTTGATTATAACTCTTGGTTGAAAAGTCCAAATTACGCACCGTTATTTTTGTTAGAACCCTAACTCTTGGTTTAATCTTTTGCGCAGTTTCATAATGTTGTTTACCAACAATCCGAGGTTGTAGCATAGTTGACTAACAATCCAAGGTTGCAGCGTAGTTGACGTTGAATCTAAAGACTCTAGTACTGGGTAGATACCTTTGGCAACTAATTCTCTTGATAGTATGGTAGAAGTATCTAAATGTGCAAATGTTGAACTCAAAACAGGAACAGGAACAGGAACATTCTTCTTCTGCCTGCCTAACATATTTCCGGTGCCTGTTCAAAAGAGATGGTGAGAAGCCAAGGAGAACCACAATGAAAGAATGTTTTTATTAGTAAAATAAGTGACGAGCCCAGATTTAATTGGGTCAAGCCCAATAAATCAAGTAAGCCCTGATCTACTAGAAAAGTAGACCAAGTCCGGTTCATCTATCCAACCCAATCCAAGATCCAAAGAGCTTAGAAAAATAAGAGCACGTGAGAGAGAGATTATCGAGATACCCGCTCTCAAATATCAAAGTTGTTATAATTGTACTTACCTTTTATAACTATCTTCTTTGAAGAAGTAGTACCGTCACACTCACGTCACCATCATACCATGCCATAGAGGGCCATCTCGCCACACTTCTCTATACACCCATAACTTCTCTCTCATAACTATTGTATCTCTCATAGAATTAACCATTGCTCTCTCCCCTGTTCACCCAACTTTATCAATAAAAACCTCTGACCACCGTTCCTATTTTTGAAAATAGAGGAAAAGTTACCTAGATCGAACCACTATATATCTACGTGTTGACTCAATATTTACATTACTATCATTGATTACTTTATTTATTGTCCATTAATTACACCTTATCACACACTCGACTGTTGATCTTACACAAAATTACTTTGTGCATCGTCAATAAACAAGTTGCCTTTGCACAAACTATATTGATATTGCAAATATAAAATGTTGTAAAGCTTACAACATCACAAATACAAAAGCAAAACAATAAAAAACATCAAACCTGCTCCTAGGTACTATAAAGCAAAAGACTCCTTAAATTATGTTGAGACGGAAGTTTTCTTCACTTCTCAATCCTCACTCTTTCACACTCTCTGATCTCCCAGTTCTATCTATATAACTACAGAAGTGGAGGAGAAAGAGGATGAGCACTCCTTTTTTTAATTGTCTCTTCACTCCTTTCTCCCTCCATTCTTCAATCTTATTTCACCTAATCAAACTCCAATCGCAAATTAAAAGCTAGCTAAAAAATTACAATAAAAAACGTAAGACATTCCCGAACTGCATCTTGTATAGCTGCACAATTCTTCAATTCCAACCCCAGAAAACAATTTGAACCTCTTCTCTTCTTCATGATCCTGTTTCTCACTCCTATTCCAAATTATAGCTTGAGACTGACACATCAGCTGGAGAACCAGAATGGACATACACAAACTCGAGGCTTTTTCCAGCAGGCAAGGCGTTGATCCATGCTGGGAAGACATATGAATCACCGTACTTTGTTAGACCCCACAGAGGACCATAGAGCTTGGATACTGAAAGCTTGAGACCCTTCAAAGTCTTAGAAGATTTGTTGGTCACAATTGTAGAGTATCTGTAGTAAGTTTTACCCTTGGTAACCCATGAATCTGTCGCCTTCTGCTCAATACTGATAGGAGCAGACGAGGAAGCTGCAAATCAAATGTCTTCATTAGATTTCTATTGCCCCCAAAACCAAGTTCATCTAAGCAGTTATGCTAGCCAACTTTACTTGGCCATTGATCAAGACCAAATGTTATGCATGATTTCTTAGGACTGAAAAAATATAAGAACTGCTTTGTAGAGGAGCAAAAGAATACCTGGAGAAGGATCTACTTTAGGTTTTGGAGCAGGTTTTGGTTGTGTAACAATGGGTTTAGGAGTAGGAAGAACCACTGCGAAAAAACAAAATATAGTTCATTATGACCGAAAACATGGTGAAATTCTACAGAAAGATTTATCAATGAAGTGCTAGGGGTTTAAGTACCTGGAAGGAGCTGGTTGTATCCACTGTGACCACCATGTAGCCGTGCCAATATACCAAGAAGAGGAGCATTATTGTAGGTAGCAGGCTCTGTTTGCTCATAGTTGTCCCTTTCATCAGCAAAGTTGTCATAGGCATCAGGTCCACCAACAATAGCACCGGCTAGGAGATTTGGGTCACTTCCCTTCCTGCTAAACCAAGTGGCATACCCTCCTCGGCAACTAACAAATGAAGGGTTAACCTTAACGGAGACAATTGAGGAAGCTCGGTGGTGAACTTGTTGTGGGTAATTGCTTCCATACCCCACCATGTAACTAGTGGCCCTTGGGTTGTCTCCAAGAATATAGTCCACCTGGGAGTTAAAAATTTAAGAAAATTGACCAACTAAGTTTGAATGTAAGAAACATTCAAATATGATAAAATTAGGTAATAGTCCTCAAATATGTGTTTTGTGTCACTTCGATTTTTAGTAGTCTTCAAATATGTGTTTTGTGTCACTTGGATTCTTATTCGTCACTTTAGTTCCTAAATTTCCCAATTCTTTGGCCTTCATTGCTTTAATTTTGTTATTGTAATCTCTTAAAATTTTTTAAAAATGACTCTACTCTAGTATGGTCACATGATCACCTTCGTCAGTCAATTTAAACTCTCATTTCCAAATGAAACATGAGAGATTAAAAATATAAAGCTGAAATAACAAGTACTAAAGTGACACGAAACGCATAACTAAAATTCTAATTTGCCCTTATCTAATAATTTGGGTGAAACAAATGGATCTGCTGATATAAATTTACCTGAGATTGAGCGAACGAAATAAGAGCAGATGGTGGGACACTGCCAGAAGCACACTGCAGGTTCCTCCCAGCAGAGGCCAGATAGTCGGAGTAGACAGTGAGAAGGAATGAGGCACTTGTAACAAACTGCATGTTGTTCCATCTCTGCCGGAAAATTAGGCCCCCTGGAGTCTTTTTTACATTGTGTGTGCCCTTTCCAAGGCATGAACACATGAAATACTCTGCCTTCTGCTGGTATTTTTCAAAAACTGGGGCATACTGACCAGCCTTCCCTTGCATTAGGAACTGCAAGTATAGGAATATAGATTACACCCATTAGAAAGCTCCCAAGCAAGAATTGTCCAGCTATTTTTGTGCATATGAGTGGACTCTCTGATGCAAGAGGTTTCAAAGAGTTTTAATTGGATCTATAATCAACAATTAACCTTTATCATCTTATAGAAACTATCATATCCTTCTATTAAATGTTTTTAATGCAATTCATGAAGCCCAGTAGAAGTTTTAGATTTAGGAATAACACTTCTGTCATTAACTAACTCTTATAATTTTCAAATAGTGCATTCTAAAACACGTAAAAACGCATCCACAGAGGGAGTAAAATGAAACCAAGCGGAAGCACATTAGAACCCCCAAAGAGGGAGACACCATAACAAAGGTGACTTTGATAAGATTGACTTCTTGAACTCTTCGCTGCTGAATCTCAAAGAAATCAAGTTAAACCGAGTTAATTAAAAATACCATTTTTCATGATAAGTTGAATGAAGTGGGACTAGTGAAAATAGTTTCAAGTAATGCACGTGGATTATGAGTAATTATTTGCGTCCAATTCTCACCATGAGTAGAGCAACAGATGTTTTAGCCAATTTTTAAATGATCAAAGCAAAAAAGAAAAAAATATATATATACCTTGGCGACAAGAGTCTGAACACCAGCATACTTGACATCCCATCCAAACTCAGTCATACCCCACCCGGTTCCACCAAGAGCATCACCATTTTTTCCAAGATAGTTCAAGTAATACTGATTGTTTGTTGCCTTGTACAACCATGCCGCTGCCCATAGCAATTCATCCTGATATACATTTAACCCAAAACAAACCCCATTTAATTCAAATAAGTAGTTAACTAACTTGTAAAATTAAGCGGATTTTTCGCACTTTACACCCTGAAATATACTGTTAAATTTTCATCTTGCACCCTAAAAGATTATAATATTTTCACATTACATTCTTAATGAATCAAAAATGTTATAATGTGGCCTTTTTGTTAGTTTCTGCTATTTTTTCTGTTAAAAGTCAACTCATTGACACTAACGAAAAATTAACAGAATGTCCATATTATAATACTTTTGATACATGAAATTATAATGTAAAAAATTTAATTTTTGAAGATGTAAAATAAAAATATTTCGAATTTTTTAGGATAGAAACTATAATTCGCCCCCATCAATTAAGTAGATGGTTCATAATAATAGTCCATGCCACTCGTAGTTTGATGAATGAGATCTACTCAGGTTGTTAGATATGAATCGAGAGTAATAGAGGTAGTTAGAAGAGCTACGATCACATACAGCATATCCACTGACAGATCTATAGTACTTCTGAGCCACTGTGATGCTGCCATCATATTTGCCCCTGTATTTATCTGCAAACTCGAACAGCTGAAACAGTACAAAAACAATTGTTAAAAACTGATGGTAAAAACCCTGTGATATTCTGGTATCACAAGGGTAACATGGTAATAACATATTGAGATGGAAATCTGATTCTTCCTTTGATTAGTAGGATAGGCTGTTTGTGGTGGAACGAGACCACCGAAAAGCATCTCACGTGGTACAAACCACAGCTATCGCGTTTTTTACGGATCGTTAAATTGCGCAGTTGGGGTTGGGATTCGATCGTACACCCTAGAAGATTTGTAAGGCGTGAAACACGCCACGTGAGAGACGGCGAAAAAACGTCATCCACGATCCCAAGTATGCGCCGAAAGATGTTACCAACATTTCTGGTCCTACGTTTTTGTCAAAAGCATCTCGAAAACTTTTTTTCTTTTGTTAAAGTTTTACTTTTAATAAATTAATCTAAATTAAGTGTTAGATTCCATTAACGGTAAAATCCAAAATTTGCTAACATGCACCACAAAATTTGAACCAGTATTTATATAAATGGAACGGCACTATACCATCCATTTGTCTCTTAACTATATTATATAATAATTTTAAACATTTTACTTTTATTTATAAAAAATAAGAAATACGGACGGTTGTAAATGAGGCACCACGCTTCCAAGCTACACCGACAAAAAGCAGCCTGACAAAAAGCTGAACAATCCTAACTGCCTATTAACTGCGACCGGTTCACTAACAAACGCATCTCCAACCAACTTGCTAACATACGCGCGACTAATCCCGATCGTCGATGAACCAAACAGTAGACTGACTCGCTAGTGTGTCATCCACCAATGTTCCGTTCGGAAGACTATAATCTTAATTAAAAATAATTTTTGTTATTTTTAAATTTTAAATTATCATGTTTAAATAATTAATTATTCAATAATTTAATTTGAGAATAAAATTATTACCATAATCCAATTCCTAATAAAAGTGAGTACCTTAAACTATGGTCAATCATAGTAATTTTGTACAAGAATACTATTATATAAACTTAAAAATTAGATTGAGAGCGACAGCAAAATGAAATTAATAACTGTAATTGTCAACTCTATTTTTTAAGTTTATATAATATTACTCTACGTATATACATTGATTGATTAATTGGGTATTCTATAAAAGAAATAAAGACCATTGAATAAGTAAATTCTACTTAAAAAAAATTGATAGAATTCATTTTTCAGATAGTCCCAATTCATTTAGAATGCTATTTGAAATTCAAATTTAGATTATATGACATTTTTCTTTAACAAAAAGGCAAAGTAGGGGTTTAACCTACCTGACTGGCATGGCTTAGGAGCTTGTTGGCGTAAGAAGGATTGTAGCGGCGGAAGACAAGGGAGGCGGCGGCCATGGCGGCGGCTGTCTCGCCGGCGAGGTCCGAACCTGGGTTGCTTGGGTCGATCTTGTAAGCCTGTCTTGAGGTGGTCATGTCCTCAGGCCTTTGCCAGCAGTAGTGGTCTGTGTTACCATCGCCCACCTATTCACCATGTCACATCAACTCGTTACCACAAATCCACAAAAAAAAAACCTAATAATTATACATAAACACCAGATTTGGTCACATATAATAGGACTTTGGGCTAACAAAATATTCATATTGAAAAGAACAAAACAAAAAACCCACTAAAGATGATTGACGGATTGCACCATTTAACGATTTTTTTTTTTAATGAGTTAGTCAGCTTAAAGAAGTGTAAAACACAAATTAACTAGTCTACTCAAACGTTTCTACTACCATTGCTATTTTGTGAGGGAATTGTGTAAAAACAGAGCAACCTCTTCATTAAATAGCTACAAAAAGGAAAATATAGACACCAAAGCTGATTAACAAGATTAAAAAAATGCATTTCAATCTCACTGCCAACTTGAGCTAGTGGTAGATGCCAAAGAGAGCGTGGGAATTGTAGTAATACCTCTCCATAAAGGACATCGGGTTGGGGATGAGCCTTAATGAGGTAGTCGGTGCCCCACTTAACAGCGTCCATGGCATGACCAAGCTCACCACTGGAAGCCATTTGCTTCCCGTACTCTATTATGCTCCATGACATCATTGTTATAGTGAATGCCATGGGCAACCCAAACTTAACATTGTCCCCTGCATCATAGTACCCTCCTACTAGATCCACCTGCAAACAATAGTTCAAGGTTTTGAACAAATTAATAAAACTGATTTCTCACAGTTATGAGCATCAGATATCACATTGACATTGTGTTCTATAATTAGATTAACAGAGTCTCAGGTCAAGATCTCCCATATTATATTGTTCTCCCACTCCAAAATGGCTGTGTAATTTGTCTTCCAAGCACATAGTAGAAAAGAGGAACTTACCCCACTAGCTTTGCCATCGTTAAGACCAGAATTACCCCTCCATTGGACTCTCTGAGTACTGGGAAGGTAGCCAGATCTCTGGGCTTCAAAGAAGAGAATGCTCTTACTGAGAGCCTGACCATAGTCATGGCCAGCAAATACCAAAGGTAGAATCCCAACAAGCAGAAACAGAAGAGTCATTGAACATAGTCTCACAGGCTTCTCCATGTAATGCGTCAAAATCACTGAAAAATTTAAGCGTGGTTGCAAACAAAGATTGAAAACCTTCAGCAAGTAGACGAAAAGAGAGATATACAGATCTGTTCTGTAACAGAGCCTATATACATCCACAGAACGACAATGTTAGTCTTGTTTATCAGCTAAAATGTCCGATAACCAACCAGACCAGAGTGACCCTCAAAAGAGAGAGAGAGAGACAGAGAGAGGGGTTAGGGATTGAAAGAAGAAGAGGAGCCAAAGCCGCTATAAATGGAGGGAGGGAGGGAAGGAAAGTGCCATTACTCAGAAAATAATAAATGCAGTTTTCAAATTTAATGTCACTGTATATATTTTTCCATTTTTTATTCCATATAGAGGGGATTTGAACGGTTGTGAGAGAGAGAGAGCAGAATCGTGTGGGTTTGTTTGGCTCATTACTGGAAAGAGTCGGTGTTGGACTGGCAACAAATTACTGCAGGCAATCACGGGAAGAAATTAGTTAAATGAATAAACCAGTTTTCTCACGTTGATTATTATTAATTTGCACGTAGACAGAGACATCTTATAAGTTATGATAAGCTGTCATTCAGATGGTTAAAAATGCCAAAGCAAGTAGAAGAAAACGAATTGTTGTTTTAGACATACAAAGTTCAAAATTTGGCAATCGGTTGAAATTAAGTCATAAGAGATTTATCTCTCATAAATATTTTAATTCTGACATAACTAACTTATATTAGTTAATGTGCTCTTTAATTAACCCGAACACTACCCTGACGGTGCGACTTAAAAATAAAAATTTAAAGACACTGTCTCTTGATTGTCCCTATTGCCCCTGACCATTGCACATTAGCATTGGAGGAGCAAACACATCAGGGCTCAAATCATTGAATTGTTAAATTATCAGAATTATAGTTTGGTTTAGAAAGGGAAGCTTGAAGCAATAAGCTTGGAGATGCTCAAAGCTCCTTGGACGAGTATTATTTCTTTCTATACAATTTTTTTACTTTTTTTTTTAGAGAAAATTACACCTAGACTCTCTGATGTTTGTTATTTAATTACTCAAACTCTCTGACATTTAAAATATTACATATAGATCCCCTAATATTTGTACGTGCATAACAATTAGACAGTTGTTGTAAATATATATGTTAATTAATTACACTTAGACCCTCTGAAGTTTGAACTATATAATATTTAGATCCCTATAGTTTAAAATATTATACTTAGACAAAAAATAATCCAATCAAATATAGAATATCAAATATTTTCAATTTTACGATCAAAATTCATGTTCTATTGTATCATTTATTAAAATAAAATTAAAAATTAAAAATTTAATTTTTTCTTAAAAAATCGTAATTAGTATACAATTATATAATCTATTGGAATAAAACTAAAAAATCAAATAAGGGGTCTAAGTCATTCATAATATTTAAAATTCATGTTCTACTATGTCATTTATTAAAATAAAATCAAAAATAAAAGTCTAATTTTTTTTTAAAAATCATAGTTAGTATATAATTATATTATCTATTAGAATAAAACTAAAAATTTAAATAAGGGGTCAAACTGTAATTAACGTAATATCTTTTAACTTTAATTGGGGTAGTTTGATATTTTAATTTTCTCATTTAAATGATCAAATTAAATTCCAATAAATAATATAATTGTATACTAATTACGATTTTTTAATTAAAAAATTAAATTTTTATTTTTAATTTTATTTCAATAAATGATACAATAGAACATGAATTTTGATTGTAAAATTTAAAATATTTTATATTTTATATTTGATTCCAATATTTTTTGTCTAAATCTAATATTTTAAACTTAAGGTGTCTAACTATTATATACCTACAAACTTCATGGGGTCTAAATATAATTTATTAATTGATATATTTACAGCATGACTTAAGTGTCACGTGCGTACAAACCTCATGGGTTTGCGTAGAATATTTCAAATGTCAGAAGTCTAAGTGATTAAGTAAAAACCTCATAAATTCTATGTATAATTCTCCATTTTTTAATTATTAGATCACATAACATATATTTTTGTTGGCTTACTATTTATAAGAGGTGCACAGGTGATATCCTGCAACGAGTTGAGATGGCGATACGTGGAACGATTTTGAGGAGCGTCGAACCTGAAACGAAGGATTAGGAAAAGGGGGGGGTCTCCCCAACAAATCTCTTCCGAAAATCAAGTTAGTCAGCATGACAGTCATGAAAATAGTCTTTTCTAGATTAGAATTACGTACCATAGACCAACGTTTTTAAGGGTAGTTATACATGAGTTTGCAATGATAGCGGAGTCTTTTGAGTCCTATCTCAGAATTTAATAGTCTACACTCGTATCTAAGCATAATAAGTGTTATCCCGTCAAATCTCTTAAAGAATAATCCCCTCGGGCGAGTAGACGTCGAGTCTTTATGGCCTAGTCCTCGGTCATTAAATACCTTATCTCGATGCTTCATCTCTATGTCCGAGCGTTCATTACTCGTGAATAAGCACCCTCGAGGTTTGCCGAAGACATCAAGTTGGCGTTATAACACTTAATGGCTTGTAATGATGATCGTTTACACATTTCCTAAGGATACAGATGCTCATTAATGATCCTATCACAGTCACTCAAACCCTCATTAATGAACCGTCATATCCTTTTTAATGCTAGGCCATGAGGGGCACACTCGACTCGGCCCTTCAGGTCATAACTTCTAGGCGATTTTCTCATATGACCCTTGTGTTTTATAACGGTTGCACATGTCTACATGTTCATTTACTACTGTCAAGCCGCCTAAAGTCTTGTCAAGAGGATAACTTGCGGCGAATACATCTTGGTTAATCTACTATTAATAAAAATTGAAGAAAATTGTAATCTCTGTTATATAAAAAATTGATGCAACATTCAAATTTTAAGGAAGACTCGTACTCATAGAAGAATTTAAGAATTTATACTTTACATCATAAAATATTAATTTTTTTATATTGCATCCTCAATATATTAAGAGTATTATAATGTGGCTTTTTCCGTTAACTTCTGCAGTACATTGAGGGTGCAATGTGAATTTTTTTTTTTTTTGACAATGCAAAGTAAAAAATCTTAAATGATTTGGGTGCACAATATAATTTGCTAATATTTTATATAGCAATTTATGATTTTTTTTAATTATATAATTTAAATTTATAAAATAAAAAGAGAAAAAAAATAGGAAAGAGAGAAGTGAGAGATGCATGTGATTTAGTGAAGTTGTCTTGCATTGAGAGTGTATTACAAAAAAAAATTTAAAATAAATTTTGCAGTGTTAGATGTAATTTGATGAATATTAGATTAAATTATCGGTTATTATGCCTTTATAAACACACAATTCAAATTACTAACTCTAATTTTAAATATATATTTTCACCTTTGCCGTCCACACCCAAAAACTCAATCTCAAAAGGAGAAAAAGGACGAAAAATCTCCTGGAAATAGCAGACAGCTAATAGAGTTGATTAAGTGGAATATATTGGTTTCCAATCCTTGCCTGCATTCATTGAAAAAACCTTTTCTTCCTGATTGTGCTTATAAAAGCACCATTTTAATATAATAGAACAACTATATGGATATGTAAATAAGAAAGATAAAGAATCCAACAACAACTCTAAAATAATTCGGGAGTTTGGAGATGTTTCAATCTTTACCCCATTTTGTTTGTCTTGTTTATTTTATTGAGAAATTATTTTTTTCGCTTAATGTACGGATGAATTAATTACGTCAAAGTTCCAAAAATAATGGCAAAGTTCAAAATTTTGTTACCAAATTAAAAAGAAATTAAAGATTCCATCTATTCTATACACGTAGCGAATCTGACAACAAATATTAAAAAGTTAATGTGATGCAAATCTAATCATAGACTATAAATTGAGGAATATTGTAGTAGAAAATTTGTTGGCAATTTAAATTAATAATAACAGTGGCACGTGGCTGGTGAGTTTGTAGAATGACACGTGGGGGTGAGTTACACCTGGTTTCTAAACAGTATCACAATATTTCTACTGTACTATGATTCGAAAACAACCCAGAAACCCAACAAACAAACACTCCCCACCACCTTTGTATTTTCTATATCGACAATTTTAACCTTTAAAAATCACCACCGACAGCATGGACTAATTTATTTATTGTGTCCGGCAGCCAATTATACCGAATGGTATACCCGTAATAATCCTCACAACTATGCCCACTTTTCAGAATTATAATGGAAAAAAAAAAGGGGGGGGTCCCCCGGGGGGAGCCAAAAGAAAAGATGGAAGATGTGGTCAAATTTGGGTCCCACATAATGACGCTTTATTCCAACCCCAATCAACGGTCATAAAAAAAAAAGAAATAAATCACTATTTTCTTTGAACTTTTTTTTTTTAATAGTAACAATTTAAATTGAATTTTAGAAAAAGTGGGGGAACAGAAAATCTGAACGCGTCATAGATAAGTCCAAAGACAAATCTCCGCAAATACCGGCTGGCGCAGGTTTTGTTACGGTCACGGCCTCAGCTCCCACCGCCGCAGTGACTGGCTGTGGGGCTGTTGCTTCTGGTATCCTCTTCGGGATGCCACCACCGGGATAACCTAGCCAGCCGGTTGCAACATTGCGGAGCTTTGGTATAATCAAAGTTTATTCATTTTGCTTTTTAAACTGAATTTGATTAGTTAATAGGGATCGTTGTTTTTATTTAAATCAATTGGGGTCCATAATTTTGAATTCAAATCCTTATATACTATTGAAGCGGCAATTTAAGTGGGAGGCTTTTTCATATCAATTAGATGAATGCTTAATATAATATCAAAATAGAATGTCATATGTTCAAATTTTATAGTCACTCGAATTATTAAAAAAAAGATTTTCACGTGTTAGGTCTAAAATTTAGCATCAATGTGTGAGTGCGTGTTAAAAATATAAAGATTTAAGTTATATCCTTTGCATTAATTTAAATTTTCAAAATAATTGATTGACTACCACACTTCTTATCATTAACAAAAATTGTTATAGTAGTACCTTATCAAGATTGACCCCCATAGTTTCGTCTTTTGTTTTTCAAACCTCCGTAGAGTTCTAAGAATAAACGAATTCTTTTCCATGGACAGTAGGACTGTTAATCAAATTGAGTTATTTGAGATTGACTTGAGTTCGACTTAAGTTCAGCTCGTTTAGACTCGCTTCATTTTTTAAACAAACTCGAATTTGAACAAGTTTTTAAACTCGTTTAGAAAACAAATTCTACAAGTTCGGTTTAAA